AATATATAGCGAGAAGAACACCAATTACACGTAATCTCGATATCACGTCCGATATAACTAACAATCTTGCGAACTCCCCTAAACAAGTCCGACGAGTAAATGTAAACAAACAGAAACAAACAGCGGTTACGTTTACTCTAATCTACAATAATTGAACATATTGATAACTGATAATTAACTTACATTCTCTAACAATGAACAATTGTACATTTAAATATGCCTAAACCTGGTTTCGTTACAGAAAGCCTAAAAGAAATAACGTAGATAGGTTTGAAAGGTTTTGTTTTATTTAACGTCCAATTAATTAACAACCAAGGTAATTTAGGGACGTGTCTCCATGTGTGTTGTGTATGAGTGCATGTATGACGGAGACAGTGTATATTGATGCTCTTGCCCCCATGTGATAGCATGGATCTGATGCCGACTTTATAGTGTTATCTCACTGAAATACCATGTCGAAAGTATATTATACTGACAACGGATGAACCAGTTGTTGCCATTAATGCTGAACGTTAACAACTATATAATTACTTTGGTATGTACCGGACTGGGGAAGAACCCATTGCCTTCCTCAGCTTGAGAGCTATTATTGCGACAAACATATGTAAAAATAACAAGAACATATTATATATTACAAGTAAAGGGAGATAATCACATATATTAATAATAAAACAGTAATAATCATCACAGAAAAAGAAAGTATACATATCCCAGGTTTCTAAGTGATTGGCCATGGGAGTCCACTTGTGTGTACACTCGTACTGGAAAATGTTACGTCAGCTACAGGTCACACAAGTACATATATATCAGAACAAACTCGAGTACTAAAGAACATAACATTGGTTACATTAGAACTGCACAAAATAGTGTCGTCTATTTAAAGAGATGCTTTTCAATTGCATGCCGCAGAAAATAAGTTCCAAACAACGTTTGAAAGTATTTACTGCTTTACATTCAGCATTTATAAGAATGGCAACAACTGGTTCACCCGTTGTCAGTATAATGTGACCGGTCGGAAAACTGTGCTGGGTGTCTTTGGCATGTTATTTCAGTGAGATAGCACTATAAAGACAGTATCAGATCTGTGCTATCACAATGAGGCAAATAAAACCACAACATACCCTGTCCCCGGCATGCCGACACACATGCACGCCTCAAATGACCTTAGTCATTGATAGGAAGTTAAACCCTGTATAGCCAACCAACCAATACCTTAATATAAATTAAAAGAAAGGTCTAAAGTATCAATGCATAGGCACCATAGAAGCTTAGACTTCAACCGGGTATCTCTAACATTAGACAAAGACACTAACATCCACGATTAAATCGATTCTGAAGAATTCCACATTAGTCGACTCCTACATTTTAGTATTGTTATTTTCCTTTCTTTCAATAGCTCCAGAAGCTTAAAAGTTGTAGAAATAACTCGAAATTTCTATTTAAAGTCGACAGTTATTATATTTAGATTTCGAGCTTTTGAAAGTCGAAAACGAAATCAACTTGTTTTGCTCCTGGCCCTAATGCTCTTCCGTACTGTTATAAGAAGGATTCTAACTAGAGATATGGTTTTGAATATTGTGTAAGAGTTATCTTTCCTTGAACCTTGTGCTGATAACAGCAGTGCCACAATAGAGAGATGGTGAATTCCTGGGATGCTGCTATTGGGAAGGTTGCAGGACAGCCTCCTAATCAGTTGTCAGCTGTACGAAAACGGCTGATTTTGCAGCGGACGTTGCAGCAGCGTTATCTGTTTCATTACAAGGACAAAAAAAGGTAAACGAATTTAATGTCCGCCAGAATGGATGCACATACAGTGCTAGTTGGGCTCTGTTGTGTACAAACTTTGATTAAGTATATATGGAACAGGAGAGCATGTGTCTAGAGTAGTTTCATTTGTTTGGTCACCTGAGACAAAGTCTCAACTGACCTATTGCGATCGCCTTTTGTCCGTCGTCGTCCGTCGTGCGTCCGTAAACAATTAACATTTTCGACTTCTTCTCCAAAACCCCTGAACCAATTTCAATGAAATTTTGCGGAAACCTTCCATGGCCAAAAGTCAACAAAAATAGTTGCCTGTTTGGTCCCCGGCCCCTAGGGGCCTGAGGAGCGGGGCCAAAAAGGGTTGAATTGACTAAAATTTCAAAAATCTTAAGGTGCTTTACCAAAATTGTGAATTTCTTGACCCTGGGGTCTCAAGTTTCCCCCTGGGGAGGGGGCAAACTTTACTATAGTTTATATAGGGAAATCACATTTTGGACCAACATTTGTTTATTTCCAATTGAGGTCATTAAATTTAGGTTAGCATTATCAGTATTGGGTAGCAGTTTGATGGTATGTAAATATGAGCCCTGACTGACCCCCCGGGGCTGATGGGAGGGGCCAAAAAGGGTCGAATTGACTGGAATTTCAAAAATCTTCTTCCCAAGACCAAGATATGGTAGAATCAAATACTCTTCATAGATGGAAGGGTCTTAAGGAGCTTTACCAAAATTGTGAATTGCATGATCCTGAGGTCTCACGTTTACCCCTTGGGAGGGGTAAACTTTACTATAGTTTATATAGGAAATCACATTTTGGACCAACATTTGTTTAATTTCCATTGGAAATAATTCAATTTGGGTTATCATTATCAGTATTGGGTAGCAGTTTGATAATATGCACATATGAGCCCTGACTGACACCCCCTTGTTTAGAATCAGAGGTGCTAGTTTCAAATACTTTTTAGTCTTAAATCTGCATGCTAGATATTGAATAAGGTGGTTTTATTGTTTTTTGTCACTGAATAATATTTCTGTTCGTGTTAATAACAAAATCAACTTTCTGCATAAATAAATCAGGTGACCGTTAAGGCCCAAGGGCCTCTTGTTTTTCACAACCTCTATATTCCTTCAAGGGCGGGAGTGGGCATACCTCCATTTAAATTTATTAGTTGCAAAAAAACCTCATTTATTTCAAGAGTTTGTCACAAATTGACTTTATTGAGTATGTGCTGCCTTCATTCTCTAACAAATCATCCTTTCCGCCAAGTTGCATTGACACATCTGCTGCTGTTTCGAATGTATTCTGAAGTCAAATTAAAAGATTAATTGTCACTTGTAAACATGATATTTCAAGTTTATACGTGTATGTTTCCAGATACTATAATTAATTCGATTTAGTACGATGAGAGGATGATATTCATAACGGAAGTATTAAATATTTCCATGATCCCAACAAGTGTAGTAATATCATTAAAATAGATTCTAGAAACGGGCCTGAAAATTCGAATTGTTAATTCGTTAGATTACTACAATCCACATGTAAAATAGAACCACAAAATAAATTGAATATACATTTCATAGATAATAATTAGAAATACGAATATTTAACGACTTGAATTTATCAATGTTTAATAGTTTTCTCAATTATAATTATATATGTATATTCATGTAACTGAAAGAATATTGAATAAATTAATTAATATTTAAACATTCTGTAGAGTACAGATATGTTTCTCACACATTAAGTACAGCAACACTTGTGTAGATATTTTGACCTATACAGCACAGGCGTCAGTGACGTCATGACTTAGATTTGACGGAAATTTAACGTGTATACGACGTATGACGAACAATGCCTGGCATAATAGTGCTCAGGAAAAAAATGGATTTAACTCCTGTATTCCCACAGAACATGTAAGATTGGTGTGTTTGTATTTTATTATGGATTGGACATTTAAGGACGTGTCGGGTTTTAATGAAGGAGGGAATGGCCATAAAAAAAACGACCTGCGGCGAGTACCTGCCGACTGCCTCCGTAGGCCTCGAGCCCGCGACCAACAGGTGGAGGACGAGTGATCGTAGACGGTTTTTAAACGTTAAACTCTAGATCTATTTCCAATATTTGGCCCCGCACCTCTGTCTTAGGGTTGGGGTAGAGCAAATACAAAACTGAGTTCCCTTGGCCTAACATGTACACTGCTCCAGACCCAAAAGTCAAAATCCACTCAGGCTTTCTGGACTAGTAGCATTTTAAAGGAAAAGTGGAACTGATTTTTGACAAGCGCATTTCATTTTTAGATTACCCGGTGGGTTTTTTTCTTTCTTCTTTTTGACCAGCGCATCTCGCCCTTTATAAGAATTGGTTTTGAAGTGGAAGTGTTTATAAATAATGCATCATTGATATAGTGATGTTAGGAAATGCTACTTAGTCTTCTGGATCAACGATAGAGTAAAATGCTGCTTCCCTTTTATACAATTTCAAATTAAATATTTTATAACTTGAGGTGTATTGCATTGTTGATGTATCAAAGTTCTCGTGTATTTGCTGTTCTAGATTAATGTGTGTCTCGAAATCACTTAGGAAAAAAGGGGCTAACTAAATGTTCAAAGGTCAAAGGCAAGAGTTAAAGAAGTCAATAGAGATAAGGTTTTTGTGTGCTGTGACGCACATGAGTGTAGCATGTGTGTGTGTTAGACATTTGTAACGAACCCTAGCTAGGCCTGTGCCTCACCTGATGCCGACGACGGGATTTTCTTTACCTTAACGCACTTATTCTGACCGAAAATGACACCACTTTGAGTTACATTCACACCGGCCGGCTGAGCACTTTTTCTCTTAATGTCTAGTAAATATTTGCAATAAGTAAACATTGGTCATTCACTTATCAGAAAACATACCATTAAGACGTTAGCATGCAACGATATTCCTGCTTTTAAGCCGGTGTTTGTTTAGTCGTGAGGTAGAGATATAAGAAAACAAACTTAAGCTTATGTAGAACTTTTCTCCCATGTCTTCTAGCAGATCAGTGGCTTCAGATATAATCGGATTTATTACATTACATGTCTCCATAAGTCACTGAAATGGTTCTTCTTAGCTCAAGATAATTGAAATAAATTAAGGACGTCAGTTTTGGGGGATAATTTGCCGTCTGTATATGCTAACAATGCTTTCAATGAACGCCAGGTATGTGGGTGCGTCAAAATACTGAATTATGATTGGTTGAAATTGTCACCGTGACCTTGATTCAGATATACACACATGACACCTGAGGTTTAATAACCTACATTTTGTATTGGCGTTTCTCCAGGTATACCGATTACCGTTCGTTATTTACAATGCAGAACCATAACAAAATACAGCTGAACAGAGTCCTATCAACGGCGGCGAACATAACTGTAAGTATAACCATATAATCATGTCTCTGACTCCAATACACATCGCAATAGTCTAGACTGTTTACATGTATGTTGGTTCGCTTGTTTTGTCATTTAAACGTATATATTAGTTAAACGTAGATTCAAATAACTTTATGATTACTTATAACTTTTGTAGGGTTTATAAAGACAGTTAACTAGTCCGACATGACTGACTCTCTATAGCTTTATGAGATATATTTATTTCGGATTTACAATACGTAATACTTGTCTAAACGAATATATTATATTAAACGTACTTCAGTCTGAGATTTGCGTTTGAGTTAGGATATATGCTATGCTGCCTTTTTAAAGAGTATGGCACACTTCTAGAATTGAAACAAAAATGAATTGTGTCGTGCGCACGTGCTGTCGTTTCTCCACTTAAAGACTACACTAAATGTCACCTATAGCATGTAAGCAACTAACCATATCGTAGACTTTGTCGTGGGATGTACTTATATTACTGTATTAGACAGTGTCACAGCCCCTCTGGACCAACCATTATTGTACACGTACGAGGCTGCCGTAGGGGCATGTTATATAAACGAAATGGAGGCACGGTGGTCTATAGTTGTAGGACGCCGAGTGTGTGACCGAAGGGTCACGGGTTCGAATTCCGTCGTATCTTTCAGTCTACTCAGCTGTAAATTAGTACGTGGTTTGGCAGTGCTTCAATTGTTGAGTGCTAGCTGTGTCAGAGCGCCGAAATGGCAGCACTGGCTGTATGCTCCCCAGGGAGTAGAGAAATGTATTGGCTGCTTGCAAGGTCCCTAAATACTTTGTGAACCACTTTGAGACGACCTAGGTTGTGATAAAGCTGTATATAACAACTTCATATTATTTATAATTACTGTTAAATGTGATATAAAGCGGATATACTTAATGTAAATATTAACCTTTAATTAATAAGTTAAAGCATAAACATATATGTGTAACGAAAAAAATAAAACAGTCTTCAAACTTTAAATACATCTTTGTGTAAATTCAAATTTCGATGTCATGTTATTATGTGAGTGACGGGAAGGATCAGGATTTGAATTAAAGGATTTTTGATTTTATACGAGATTGTTCCCGTGATATATGTCAATAAACATAGACATGCTACATAGCTGAGACGGCGAAATGGGGAATGTGATCAGTTATAATTGTCCCGAAGTTTTCCCAGACAATAATTACGAGGCTGGTATATAATGATGCGAGTTCCTTTGTATAAAACAATTCATGAATTATACACAGGCATATGAATTCCTTTATTTAGACAGGGTTACATATTAAGATTTACAATACGGCCCTTTGATACACGACTAACAATGAACACGATGAAAATAATGATAACGATACACCATGTATATAATTACAAAATCATATATACAGATTCTGTCAAATGTATTTGTTTAAATTGCCAAATCTAACAGTTTCTGCATATGTGATTTCATATCAAACTATAATGGGTTAAAATTTGCTGTGAGGTTTCTAAATTGTCCAATAAAGAGCTCGGAAAAACTAAAACTTTGTTCTTCTATCTAATGGGTTGTTTCACACTAAAGACATATTAATACATAATGACAAGGGCATACCATATATGACAGAAAGGCATATCATGACTAAAGCAAACCATACATCGACAAAATCAAGCCATGTAGCGAGAAAAGCAAACAATATAACGACAAACGAAACTAAATTACCACAAACACACACCATATAATAACAAACCATATAATGACAAACGCAAACAATATAACGACAAAAACAAACCATATAACGACAAACACAAATCATTTAATGACAAAGACAAACCATAAAACGACAAAACAAACCATAAAACGACACAAAAAACCCATATAACGACCAAAAAACCCATATAACAACAAACACAAACCGTATTATGACAAAAACAAACCATGAAATGACAAAGGCAAACCATATAATGACAAACACAAACCATATAAGGACAAACACAGACCATAAAACAACAAACGCAAATCATACAACGACAAAAGAAAACCATAAAACGACAAAAACAAACTATATAATGACAAAAACAAACCATAGAACGACAAACGCAAACCGTATAATGACAAAAACAAACCATAAAATAAAGGCAAACCATATTATAACAGAAACAAACCATTCGACAAACGCAAACAATACAACAAACACAAATCATACAACGACAAAAGAAAACCATAAAACGACAAAAACAAACCATATAACGACAAACGCAAACTATATAATGACAAACACAAACCATAAAACAACAAACGCGAATCATACAACGACAAAAGAAAACCATAAAACGACAAAAACAAACCATATAACGACAAACGCAAACCATATCATAACAGAAACAAACCATAAAATGACAAACACAAATAATATAATGACAAAAACAAACCATATAACGACAAATGCAAACAATATAATGACAAAAACAAACCATAAAACGACAAACACAAACCATACAACAAACGCAAATCATACAACGACAATCACAAACCATATAATGACAAAAACAAACCATAAAACGACAAACGCAAACCATACAACAAACACAAATCATACAACGACAATCATAAACCATATAATGACAAAAACAAACCATAAAACGACAAACGCAAAACATGACAAAAACAAACCATATCACGACAAACAAAAACCATATAACGACAAACACCAACCATAAAACAACAAATGCATATCATACAACGACAAATACAAATAATATAATGACAAAAACAAACCATATAACGACAAATGCAAACCATATAAAGACAAAAACAAACCATGAAACGACAAGCACAAACCATACAACAAACGTGAATCGTGCAACGACAATCACAAAACATATAATGACAAACACAAACCGTATAATGACAAAAACAAACCATGAAACGACAAACGCAAACCATATAATGACAAACACAAACCATAAAACAACAAACGCAAATCATATAATGACAAAAACAAACCATAAAACGACAAACACAAACCATAAAACAAAAAACGCAAATCATATGATGACAAACACAGACCATACAACAACAAACGCAAATCATACAAAGACAAACATAAACCTGATGAGGACAAACACAAACCATATAATAACAAACACAAACAATAACAAACCATATAATAACAAACACAAACCATAAAATGACAAACACAAATAATATAATGACAAAAACAAACCATATAACGACAAAAACAAACCATATAATGACAAAAACAAACCATAAAACGACAAACACAAGCCATATAATGACAAACACAAACCATACAACGACAAACGCAAACCATATAATGACAAAAACAAACCATAAAACGACAAACACAAACCATAAAACAAAAAACGCAAATCCTATGATGACAAACACAGACCATACAACAACAAACGCAAATCATACAAAGACAAACACAAACCTGATGAGGACAAACACAAACCATATAATAACAAACACAAACAATAACAAACCATATAATAACAAACACACACCATAAAATGACAAACACAAACCATATAATGATATTTGCGTTTAGGTTCAGAGTATACAATGTATTTTACGTTTACGGATAAACCTAGAATAGACAGGAAAGGAGCACTCAATTAGTCGCTCATTCAGTGGATTACTTTTTAAATAAATCCCAAAACGTACAGGAGATGAGGAACTTGAAAGAAATTACGGAAGTACATAAGTTAAGGTGAATTAATTAAATGACCGACTATATATATGTAAATTGTACATTACAGACTGCAGTGATGACCTCTCTGATGAACCGACAGCACGTGAACACGTCCACGACGCAAACAAGCACGTGCGGACCCAACATCGAGGCATCGACGTCACTGTACTCTCTAAAAGAGGTGTCTGATCACTGTGATACACAGTCTTTGTGGATCGTCATTCATGATAAGGTGTATGACGTCACGCAGTTCACTTACGAGGCAAGTCATACAAACATAATAGCGCATGTATCGTTTCGGTCTGAACTATTTGTTGCGGGTATGAGAGGTCAAAGCTCACCAACCTTTGCTAATCTGAACTAAAACCTATTTTTTATGAATTTTAGCTTACCGTGGTATCCGCCGCACGTCCAAAAAGTCTTTGTAATATATTTCTTCTTCAGGACCGCCGAATTAACGGCGGAATTTACCAAATTTGACTACAAACATCCTTGGAAAATTGTACAAATAGAGGGAATCGTACAGAGGGGCCGAGGCGCGGGCCAAAACGCGAAATGAACTACATCGCTTTTTTAAAAGCGACTTCTTCTCTTGCACAATAAGATAGACATTGGCCATATTTATTATTAAGAAGCACCTTCAAAGACATAAAGGAGATGACCCCAAGAAGGTGGGTGTGGGATCTAAAAGGGATAGTGTGGCCATATTGCTTCGAGCGACTTCTCTTCTGGAACAATATGAGATCGATATTGATTTGAAATATTAGAAACGGTGGGGCTGACCCCTCTTGGCTGGATCTACGAACATACTGTGACTACGTAATTGGATGTAACGGACACAGGGACCTGATATATATAATTTGTTACAGCAACATTTGGACCTAAACTAAGGTGTTCAGAGTAACTTTACATGTTTTATCATCGGTGGTGTAATTTTTACCGATTCATTGGGGGTGTCATTTATACCGAAAGTCGATCTACAATTAAACTCCTAAAACATGTAGTCATTCTGAACACCTTAGCCTAAAAAAAATCCTGGATTAGACACAAGTTAAAAAGCGTACCGTTAATATTGCTGTAACAAATCCTTAGGTCCCTATGGTAACGGCAAGTGACTAATACTATGTATACCGTGGCGGCATTTGCTATTTGACTTGTATTTCCAATGTATATTCATCCGAGACACGCAGGGAAAATCCTGGAATTTTAGAGCAGTGGGCCATTTTCAGAAATGTTTGGTAAATATCAAATTTAAGAGAGTCCATTCTATGTAAAATAGAAAGAATATTGGACCATGAAGGGGTCAATTTCAGTTTTGAGGGGTCAATGGCCCCATGGCCCCCTCCAGGATTATCCCTGGACACCTATTGTTGATGTGCATGGCTACCTGATTAGTTTGCATCTGAACTTTAACCCTTGTGTCAATTTTTCTGTCACTTCAGCATCCAGGTGGTCTTGAGATTTTATTGGAACATGCTGGGAGAGACGCGACAGTAGATTTTGAGGAGAAAGGTCATTCACGTGATGCGTACAGCACGCTGACGGGGTACTGTATTGGAGAACTTGTTCAGGTAAAAAAACATATTTTACATTTGAAATTTCAAAAATCAAACTAGAGTATCCGAATACTGCTTGTACATTCAAGGTCAAAAGTCAAGCTAGGCCAAGGTAAAAATTCAAAAGATGAAAGTGTATCTGGCACACTCAGCTTTAGAAACAGTAGGATGTAAATGTGTAGTTTTTATCTAGACATTTTTTAGCTTATTTGATTTAAGCATTTTATATGCAAAATGCCAATTTGATTAGTCACAAGTTAAAAAGCGTTATTTTTACCTAGAAATATATCGTGACATTTTTTCTACAGGAGGACAGGAGATACAAATGTGTTGGGGATTACAGACAGAAAGTACCTGCTGAATCCAGCTCATGTAACAATTGCTGAAGCAGACTAGCTTCATTCTTGTGACATGCCACCGTGTGTGGCGCGTTACATTTCAGCATTTTCTATGTAAAGCTACAACAGGGCAAATCAGTATAACAGCAATCATGAAGACTTTTGTTCACCACATAAAGTTGAAATCCCATTCACTCCTCTGTAAAAGTGTAAATGTTGAATTGACTTTCCTGTAAGTGTACACGTGTTGAAATGGTTCTTCTGTCGGTGTATGCATGTTAAATGGACTCTTCTGTAAGTGTGTAAATGTTGAATGGACTCTCCTGTAAGTGAATACCTGTGTTGCTATGGCTCTTCTGCAAGTGTATAAATATTGAATTGATTCTATCGTCAGTGTATGAATGTTAAATTTACTCTTCTGTAAGTGTATGACTGCTGAAATGGCTCTTCTGTCAGGGTATATGTGTTAACTGGCTCATCTGTCAGTTTATCAATATTGAATTGGCGTCCTTGCTATTGTAAAAAAAAAAAATGAATTGACTCTGTCCGTGTATAAGAAAATAATTAAACACCTCTTCTGTCCATGTTGAATTGACTTCCTGTCATTGCATAAATGTTGAATTGACTAAAATAAATGTCGGGAGTAAAATTTTGAATCGAGTCTTCAGTGCGAAATTACTGAATTGACTCTTCAGACAGTGGAATACCATTGTTGAACTGACTCTTCAATTAGTGTATGAGTATATGTTGATGTACAAGTATGTTTGTTGAATTGACTCTTGTCAATTACCAATGATGATGATGATGATGATAAATTAACATTCTCAACCATGACTTAATGAATGTTGCTTTGAATTTGCTCTCCTGTTAATGTGAATCATGAATTTACCTCTTTGTTATATAATTAATGCTCATCTAGTACATGTAATTATTGTTTTCGTTGAATTCGTGTGAATTATGTGTAGTCATGAATTCATTCTTTGGTAATATTTGACAAATTCACAAAATGTGAATGCTGAACTTAACCTCTGATAATTATGTGACTAATGAATTCAACTGAAATGTGTATATAAAATTCGCCCTCCAGTGAATGTGAATTATAAAGTTACTCTCTTGTTGATATGTGAATGATGGATTCATCCTGTTAATGTGTGAATGAAATCCTCCTCCTCTTAATTTATGATGAATTCAACCTATCCTGGTGGTATATATCTAACTAAATTCAACCTCTTGTTAATTTGTTACATACAATATATATATATACAGTATTATGAAGTTGTGAATAATGTGTTGTTGTTTTTTAATTTTAAATAAAAACAATTTTAACAGCATACATAGTATTTATATTTTATTACATGCATTTTGTTATGCTTGGTTCAAAAGAAAAAAACCCCACCTGAAGCAGTAAATCTTACTTTTGTTTGTACCTTCTGCAAGTTATAAACAGTGAGATTTGTCTAACAACTACCCAAGAGAAAAAAATGCTTTCTTGGAAAAGTCTCTGCATTTTTGGATAATTTCACATCAAGTTTTTTTATAAGAGTGTTACAAATAAAATATAAATTGAGCATAAAGTAACCAGCAATTTATTAGAATTGACATTATTGTAAATCTGAGGTTCTGATTTTATAGAAAAATAAACCTAAATGTGGATAACATGCACAAGTATCCTTACTCTTTTGAACGCTATACCACAGAAATGTAGAAAGGTTTTGACACATAAAGGCAAAGAGATGGTCTCATCATAGAACCACAGATTAATATATAAAGTTGCTCAACCCTTACAAAATTCACTGCTCTTACAAAATTCAAATCAAATATCCAGCCTCACACAATTTATATTTGTCAGATCGAATATGGCAGAGCTAAAACAGTTAAACTCAAAATTAAACTTAAAGGGCCATACAAAATCACACAAAAGATAAAAATACAAAGGAAATTCAACACCTAGGCTACATTCGCGTATCCCGGTTGAAACGGTACGTGTGGCGCAGAAATTTTCCACGATAAACGAACACACTTGGACCGTTCTTTAAGCAGAGCTAAAAATCCACAGTTTCGGAGAATAAAAAACAATGTATCAAGAATATTATGCCCTTCTTCCATCCGTCCACTAAATTACATAACGTATCTTAAAAATTACATGTGACTTGACATTGTTTAAGAAAGAAATAATGCAAATTGGCAATAGTCAGCATTTTAGTTTCGGTCAGGTACGTCTGGACCCCTCAATCTACACGTACCAAATTTTCCTGAGGTCAGCCTCGGTCCAAATCTGTACCTGTCGTTTTCTTTACAGGTTCAACCGGTTCAACCGTTTCAACCGGTAACGCGAATGTACCCCTATGTTACATTAACCATGTTTAACCTAATAAAAGTGAATGCCCTAATAAGGGTGCCCCACCCTTTTTCTGAAAAAAATAAAAACCAGCACTAGTCACCTTGAATATTTGTGTAGTACATGTATTCAATATGAAGCAGAAAATTCTAGATAAATGTTACTCAATAAGGGTGCCACTTCTCTCAATTACACACGCCCTGCACCCTTATTAGGTCAATTACGGTATATACTAAGATACCAGGTCCAGTTGAAACTAAAGTGATCACATCTAACGCTACATTGCAAGTAAAATTCCCACTTGTAATGTGTTCCTAATATCAAATTGCTTTTATACAAAAGCATTGTTTTGATAAAAGTTAAACATGTTTTGAAATGGGTTTTTTCTTGTCCATGCATAAAAAGACATGGAGTTTTTTCATTTTTTAAAATTTAAAATTAGTCACCAATTTAAAAGCTTACATGCTATACTGTATATAATTTTACCTGGTAAGCCCAGAAGGATGAGAGAAAAATAAACGCAAAGTTTATTCCTGAACCTTACTTCACTTGTTTGTACAGAATGGCTTATTTCCACATATGACCATGGTATGAAAAATCAAACCGTGAGCTGGGCTTATATCCTGGCATGGGCTTATTGATGGTAAAATGCATTTATAAGGCTGTTAAGAAACTAGGCACTTGGTCTGGCTCCATCATGTAACCAGAATCTTCTATTTCTCAACAAGGAACATTTTGTACCATCTTTCATGTCGAGGATTTTCAAAATTGGGCACAAAGTTGATTTTTACGATTTCACTGAAACCTTCTCCATTCTCTGGTTCTTCATATTTGGACCTGTAAAAAAGTTAAACAGAAACCCTATTAAATTTTGAAATGTATTTTTTACAGTTTTTTTCTGCAATACAAGTGACATACATAATATTATGGTGTACAAATACCCAGTAATAAATTTGTATTCATTACATTTTTTAAGTACTTTTCTACCATCATTTGGTAAGACTTTATGTACTTACAAAATCTTATCAGTTGTATAGTCAAGAAAATATCTTTAATATAAGAGTATGTAGCAAAGATATACTAAAACAAGAGGCCCAATGGGACTGCATCGCTCACCTAGTATAAAACTCACACTTGTAACCTTAAAAGTGATCTAAAATAAAGCTACAGGCAAAATATCAGTATTTAAGATTAAAATTCATTCAAAAGACCCTGTTATTTTATTTTTGGAACATTTCACCCCTGTTATTGAAAGTCGAACAAAGTCATTATGTTGAACACATTGTATAGCCTTTCATCTCGGGATGCAACTTGCAAAGTATAAACATCCTGGGACCCATGGTTATTCAGAAGAGGTTGTTTAAAGATTTTTAAACAAATTTGAGTCAAAGTCATTCACTTTAACAAACAAAGTAGTCCTTGATCCCAGCATATGCTACTGACTAAATATCAACATCCTTAGCCTTTTGGTTATTCAGAACAAGTTGTTGAAATATTTTGAACATATTTGCTCCTTGTGACCTTGAATATGATTCAAGGTCATACATTTATACAAACATTGTAGCCCTTTATCTCAGCATGCTACTGGCCAAATATCATCACCCTGTGCATTTTGGTTATTCAGAAGAAGTTGTTTAAAGTTTTTAACATATTTGACCCCTGTGACCTTGAATATGGGTGAAGGTCATTCATTTGAACAAACTTTGTAGCACCTTATCTCAGCATGCTACTGGCAAAATATCATCACCCTGAGCATTTTGGTTATTCAGAAAAAGATGTTTAAAGTTTTTGACATATTTGACCCCTGTGTCCTTGAAAATAGGTGAAGGTCATTCATTTAAACAAACTTTGTAGCCCTTCATCCAAGTTTGCTTCTGGCCAAATATCAACACCCTAGGCCTTTCGGTTATTAAGAAGAAGTCATTTAAAGTAAAATATTGACGCCGGACGCCGGACGAACGGACGAGATGACGGACGACGCACGCCGCGCCACGGCATAAGCTCACTTGGCACTTCGTGCAGAACATCTCCACACTGGAATGCAGTTAATATTGAGTACCATTCTGATTGGTCAATGATAAATGTGATAGCTTCTTACTGTGACAGATTTCACTTTTGGATACTGTCACAGCTTTAAATATATTACACCAAAACAAGAAACTCCAACGAATATGTTGCTGGCAAAAATGTAACAGTAAGGTTCATTTACCTCATAGTGTTCATCGTAACGTCGCTGATAGTTTTGTGTTTCTTGTCCACCATTTCACGATACTGTCAACAAGAATACAAATAATTCTAAGACTGAAACACTGACAGGTCAGCAAGGGCCACACCGTACACCCCATCCCCTTTGACCATAACCTTAGAAACTTTTTAAACTTCTTTTGCACATCTACATATCACAATACATGAACAAGTCAAATTTAAAAAAAAAAAAAAGGCTTTTGGAATGCGAGATAGAAGTGCTGAGGGCAGACAGATGGATGTATAGACAGACTGACCCTGTGTTAAATATAGGGCAACCATATCTCCAAACCCTAAGAATTGTAAGGAGAAACAGATGTTTAATTAATCATTAGACCACAGTTTTGATTCAAAAGTCTAATATGGTATAGAGATTATTTGTTTCAATTTGCTGAGAGTCCAACAATTCAAATAATTTCAATCATGTGTCATCATCATCGTAAAATAACTCTATTAACGGTCCTAAAACCTTATGTTACCTTTTCGTTGTGGCGACACTGATACAGGGAGGCAGTGAAAACAAAACATCTGCACGGAATACCAGCTTTCTTTGCTAACGGGATATATCTGAAAATAACATCCACACAACATTACCATCCTTAATAATGCTAAATAGCATATACATGTATTATCATTAATATTAACAGCTAGTTCAAAACTATATATTTACATTCGCTCCCATTGAAGCTGTGTACACCGTGACTGCGTATACATTACCGTATACGCAGTGAGATTCCTTGGAGACCATTGTTTCCTATTGATGACGTCATTTACATTGTGACGTCATAATGGTAACGTTGGAGATCCATCGCTGCTCACAGGCTGTAGGCTGTTCATTTGTTTGGATTTACGCACGTTACGGAGGCTTTGTACCATTATAAAAGCAAATGTATTGGAGTTAGCTTTATTCTGAGTGTACCATCATAGTAGGAAAATATGTAAATATAAGAATTGATCTTCAGTTTGACTGTGTATACGGTAGTATGAACGCAGTTGGCAACAAACATATTCTTTATGGAGCGCTAACCGTATACGCAGTCAAAATGAAGGTCAATCCTTAAATGAAGTCTAATACAATTACTGCCGTTAGATTACAACAAGCCATTCGGAATGATATGTCTCACCTGTGCCCCGCTTTGACCATCAATGCACATGTCAAGTTGGTGTAGCACTATATTTTCTGAGAAACTAACTTAAACGCAAAAACTTGATGTTGATTGAGATGCTGACAAAGTCATCTGACCATGAAAGGTAGGCCGCATCCAGCATTTGATGCATGGGTTGAGATGTATTACCTAAGATGCATCTATGGTCCAAGTTTGGTTGGTCTAGCACATATACTTTCAGTGAAACTTTAATCTCGCTTCCCCTTTTTCGTGGCGGCAAGACAATAAAACCAGAGCCTACCAAAATAACCAGTCACTAACAAATGTTAGATCGCTCAATTGTCGAGATTTATGTTATACTGAACAGAAGTTTAATGTAACTCATTTGGTAGGTATCATTTAAGGGACAAAACAAATGAAAGTATGGGATACGAGTTATTATCAAAACAGACCACAAAGTAACTAATTTATTGCTGTTGCATGTATACTTTTAGAGTTTAGACACAATCTAATTAAATTCTACTCCTCTGCGATACACTAAAACACTGCTGTATTGTAGTGTATCGTAGAGGAAAGGAATCACAAGTCTTTATTTTAATTAAGTTTAGACTGATCATGTGGTAAACAAAGTAATTTTTCTGTGATGAAACAAGTGTCAAATGTGTACTTCATAAATAACATACCTTATTGGTTGGGCTAACTGATTCTAACTGATGATTAATTACCGTGTATTTCCTGCATACCGTAAGCCCAGTTAACCAGCACATAATCTCTCATATGATTAAGGACTGGGCTTAAAACAGGACAATGAAATAGCAATTGTTTGCATTATACTGAACTGCAGTAGATTTTGGTGGCCTTTTTACTAGGCATTGGCTTATTGCCGAATATATGATATGTACTATCAACAGATGTCCAGTCATTACAGTTTCAGTCAAAACATGCAAACAATAGCATTTTTGTATACAAAGTACAATCCAAATTCAAATGAAAGGCCTGAATTTAGACATTGCGAAAATACCCCCAGAACTTGCAGCTGTGACATGGTTCTTCATTAACTCATTCACCCCTGAAGACACGTTTGAACTCTTCATATTCAAAAGTTGGAATAGTTCATTCTAAAATTCCAGGGGTGAATGAGTTAAGGACTTTGCGTTTGAAATTACCTTTGTCGCTGTTCCTTGACAGTGTTCGTGTTGTCTATGACAACACTCTTGCCCTCATTCAGTGACTTAGTACACACAGACACACACTTCTGCCACGTCCCAAGGGTGTCCTGAAACAGGGGAAGGGGAGATAACTTTGAATATAGGCATGTTTTAAAAAGCACAAGCTAAGACCTACCAAGTCACCAACACCCTACAGGTCAGACCTAGAAAACTGAGGTTATACACTATTTCAAATGAAATTGTCTGGTATTACCCCTGAGAATTTTCTTTTTTCCATAGCTCAAATTTAATTCATCTTTTGCAGTCAGGAAAGATCATCATTAAAGAGAGACATGTCTGCCTATTCTGGTTGATTGGCATTGACAAGTTAATTAGTCAGGGTATTAGAGTGGGTTTTTTTAAACCACAATCAGAGGCTTCAAACTGAGGTAGGCTTTCACCAGTGTTCTAGGTAAAAGTGGGTCTCCAGCTAAAACAGTCTGCTATTGTGAATTTTGAGCTGACTATTTGTGAAGAATAATCTGTTTATAATTTAGCCTGTCAAGAACACTGAAAACAAAATATAATCACAAATGAAGCTTGTAAGCAAACCATGATGTTAGGCAAAACAAAAAAAAGTTTCAGTTAACTTGACTGAAAAAATAGGATCGGTTGGTTTGTGTTTTTTTAGGAGTGGAAGGGGGGAGGGGGTCTAATTTTAGGAATCACAAAAATCACCAAACATGTTTTTAGGTCTTTAAAATAGTAATATGGGAATTACATTTGGTTGTGACACCTAACTTTAAAGTAGAGAGGGTACATATATATAATTGTCTTGTTTGTTTGTCCATCAATTTGTTTGCATCCGCTAAAAAAGTTATCCCAACACTAGATGGAGTGCGTTGAGACGGACAAAATTGATAGTCAGAGGTAAACACCTCGGTCAATCAGGGTACCTTTGGCCGGATTACAAACCTGACTGACTTTTGTACATACCCTGTTGATATGAATGTAACCCTTTGGTAACAAGTGTGAAGTGGAGAAAAAGGACTTTCCAGCTGCAATGAAGGAGAAAGAAATTAAAGTTACAAACCATGTTCACCCCAAAACGTTCTATCTATAATACAAATGGCTACAGATCAGATAGAGCAACTACATTCCCTGCTGTCCTATCACATTAGTTATTGAGCATAATTTTATTCATATGAATTATAAAAACACATAAACTGTGTGCTGGGAAATGTTTTGCCCGGTGCACTTTTCACCATTCTCCAATAAACTCAATTTTCACCCAGTGTAAATTTTGCCCTTCACACAAAATTAAATTGGATATCTGAAGTTAAAACAACATTGTATACGGTCATAATGAAGGTTACAGAAAATGTGTAACTCACATGCAGGAAATCCAACCAGTATCACCATCTGAAACCAAATATTTACATCTTTAGTTATTATTGTTAACAAGTACTCTATACATCTGCATGTTAAATTTGGTCTAGTTAATCAATATAAAGACTGGATACAGCTGTCCAATAGAGCAACAGTAACCATGTTTATTCTAACAAAACAAGTTTCATGTTTGCCATTCGCTAGATGTTTCTCAATCTGACCAATTTTCTGGCCACCACATTTTTTTTAATGAGCCTTATAAACTTTATGTGTTAAAAGGCCAGGATGAAAGAATATTACTTACACAGTTCCACTAATACGCTAGTTTTCAGATTTAAAACTATCTGCATTAAAATCTGTTCTTCCTCTATTTTAAAGATATTTTTGACATGTTTTTTCTTTCATTTGTTCTCTTTTCATCAAGGTGTTTTTTAAAATTCCAAACAGGACTGAGAGTTCAAATAATATTTACTTAGGAACACCTTATTAATGAGGGTTTTGCTGATGATATGTGGAAACCCAAAATGACTAGAGCTATTCTGACAGCTCACCTCTTGAGAAGGGGAGACAACTTTAGCATCAGCTGGGTCTGTGAGACAGTCGCCACTGGTAACCTTCCTCTGAAAGTAAACAACACATCATTCATCATATTTGGAACTCTTCAATCATGCAAACAGACCGCTATGACCTTTAAGGACCCATATCCCACTGCAGACTGATATGACCTTTAAGGACCCATGTCCCACTGTAGACCGATATGACCTTCAAGGACCCATGTTCCACTGTAGACCGATATGACCTTTAAGGACCCATGTCCCACTGTAGACCGATATGACATTTAAGGACCCATGTCCCACTGCAGACCGATATGACCTTCAAGGACCCATGTTCCACTGCAGACCGATATGACCTTTAAGGACCCATGTCCCTCTGCAGACTGATATGACCTTTAAGGACCCATGTCCCCCTGCAGACTGATATGACCTTTAAGGACCCATGTCCCACCGTAGACCGATATGACCTTTAAGGACCCATGTCCCAGTGTAGACCGATATGACCTTTAAGGACCCATGTCCCCCTGCAGACTGATATGACCTTTAAGGACCCATGTCCCCCTGCAGACTGATATGACCTTTAAGGACCCATGTCCCCCTGTAGACCGATATGACCTTTAAGGACCCATATCCCACTGCAGACTGATATGACCTTTAAGGACCCATGTCCCCCTGCAGACTGATATGACCTTTAAGGACCCATGTCCCAATGCAGACCGATATGACCTTTAAGGACCCATGTCCCTCTGCAGACTGATATGACCTTTAAGGACCCATGTCCCAATGCAGACCGATATGACCTTTAAGGACCCATGTCCCTCTGCAGACTGATATGACCTTTAAGGACCCATGTCCCCCTGTAGACCGATATGACCTTTAAGGACCCATATCCCACTGCAGACTGATATGACCTTTAAGGACCCATGTCCCAATGCAGACCGATATGACCTTTAAGGACCCATGTCCCTCTGCAGACTGATATGACCTTTAAGGACCCATGTCCCCCTGTAGACCGATATGACCTTTAAGGACCCATGTCCCCCTGTAGACCGATATGACCTTTAAGGACCCATGTCCCCCTGCAGACTGATATGACCTTTAAGGACCCATGTCCCAATGCAGACCGATATGACCTTTAAGGACCCATGTCCCACTGATATGACCTTTAAGGACCCATGTCCCACTGATATGACCTTTAAGGACCCATGTCCCAATGCAGACCGATATGACCTTTAAGGACCCATGTCCCAGTGTAGACCGATATGACCTTTAAGGACCCATGTCCCCCTGCAGACTGATATGACCTTTAAGGACCCATGTCCCCCTGCAGACTGATATGACCTTTAAGGACCCATGTCCCACTCTAGACCGATATGACCTTTAAGGACCCATGTCCCCCTGTAGACCGATATGACCTTTAAGGACCCATCTCCCACTGTAGACCGATATGACCTTTAAGGACCCAAGTCCCACTGTAGACCGATATGACCTTTAAGGAACCATGTCCCACTGCAGACCGATATGACCTTTAAGGCCCCATGTCCCACTGCAGACCGATATGACCTTCAAGGACCCATGTTCCACTGTAGACCGATATGACCTTTAAGGACCCATCTCCCACTGTAGACCGATATGACCTTTAAGGAACCATGTCCCACTGCAGACCGATATGACCTTTAAGGGCCCATGTCCCACTGTAGACCGATATGACCTTGAAGGACCCATGTCCCACTGTAGACCGATATGCCCTTTAAGGACCCATGTCCCACTGTAGACCTATATGACCTTTAAGGACCCATGTTCAAGTAAACAACACATCATTCATCATATTTGGAACTCTTCAATCATGCAAACAGACCGCTATGACCTTTAAGGACCCATATCCCACTGCAGACTGATATGACCTTTAAGGACCCATGTCCCAATGCAGACTGATATGACCTTTAAGGACCCATGTCCCAATGCAGACTGATATGACCTTTAAGGACCCATGTCCCACCGTAGACCGATATGACCTTTAAGGACCCATGTCCCTCTGCAGACTGATATGACCTTTAAGGACCCATGTCCCACCGTAGACCGATATGACCTTTAAGGACCCATGTCCCTCTGCAGACTGATATGACCTTTAAGGACCCATGTCCCCCTGTAGACCGATATGACCTTTAAGGACCCATGTCCCACTGCAGGCAAAACACTAGACAATTAAAATGTGGTTCGTGCAGAAAAAGCTACTTCCCCCTAATCCTGTTTTGAACATAGTTACAGTGGCATTGGGACAGAGAACTACCACAGGTCAGGTCGATCAGTTAGTTACCCAGGCTGTATTGTAATCTGATGTCATGGGTTAGAATCCTAGTCTGGCCCTCCTGCACTTTTGGCCTCAGAACATTGGTGTATTTATATTGTTTATTTCACCTTCACTGTTTTTTTATAAATGCTCTGCACGGTTTTCTGATTGGAATTTATTTTATTCAAGCTATTGTCATGTCATGAAAACAATTCTAATTCATAGCTACTGGTAGGTAGGTTGTTTTGTTTTACAGTGTTACAGTACTGGAATCCTTACATCAATTCTTCCATTAATTCTGTCTTGTCTTGACCAACGACATTGCTAGAATCGCTGATACCATAGGTAATATTGCCATACAAGTTAGTCTGATCTCACACTGCATCCCACGTTATATCACCTTGACACTCTAACTTTCACAAATACTTTCTTTTATAGTTGTGCTACAACAGCTTGAGTTTGCTACGAAAACAAAAAGATATGTATCCCTTGTGCAACTGTATATACCGGTACATAATATTGTATTACTTATCAAAATCTAGTTTAAGGTTATATTACCGGGTCAAAATCTGGCATTTCATATTTAGCCTTGGCTTGGCCTTGAAAGTATTCCTCCGGAGTGTAGAACTTCAGTCCAGCATTCATTGCAAACTGTCAACACAAAAACGTTACACAAATACATAGTCAAACAAAACAAGAGGCCCAATGGGCCTGCATCGCTCACCTGTTATTAATCTAACACTTGTAATCTTAAGATTTCATAATAACCTATTAAAAGATTTAAACATATGACGCCTCTGACCTTGATTGTTGAACAAGGACATTAGGATGAAAGTGGATCAAGATCATTCATTTGAACTAACATGGTAGTCCTTTATCCCAGCATGCTACAGACCCAATTCCAGTGCCCTGGCCCTTTTGCTTATTGAAAAGAAGTCGCTTGAAGATTTCACGACATTTGACCCTGTGACCTTGAAAGTTGGTCAAGGTCATTCAGTTGAACAAACTTGATAGTCCTTCATCCAAGCATGCTACAGGCCCAATATCAGTACCCTGGGCCTTTTGGTTATTGAGAAGAAGTCGCTTGAAGATATTACAACATTTGACCCCTGTGACCTCGAAAGTTGGTCAAGGTCATTCATTTGAAAAAACTTGGTAGCCCTTCATCCAGGCATGCTACAGGCCTAATATCACTACACTGGGCCTTTTGGTTATTGAGAAGAAGCTGTTGGAAGGTTTGAAGACATCTGACCCCAATGACCTTGAAAGTGGGTCAAGGTCATTCATTTGAACAAACTTGGTAGCCCTTCATCCCAGCATGCTACAGCCCCAATATCAGTACCCTGGGCCTTTTGGTTATTGAGAAGAAGTTGTTTGAAGATTTTAACATATTTTACCCCTGTGACCTTGAAAGTGGGTCAAGGTCATTTATTTGAACAAACTTGGTAGCCCTTCATCCCAGTATGCTACTGGCCAAATATCATCTTCCTAGGCCTTTTGGTTATTGAGATGAAGTTGTTTAAAGCAAAAAGTTGACGCCGGACAGACGGACGACGGACGACAGACGGACGGACGGACGGACGACGGATGCGACGGACGGACGGACGACAGATGCCGCACCATAACATAAGCTCACTTGCCCTTCGGGCAGGTGAGCTAAAAACTAGAGCAAAATAAACAGTGACACATAGATCTTTAAGTTCAAACAATAATGTTGTAATATGGTTTCAATTTGTGACAAAATTCCTAGTTATGATTCACTTGAGCTGGTAGCTGCAAAAACTAGATCCAACAAAATTGACCTAGCGCAAATCCGCGAAAATTAGGCACAACCTCTACAGTTTATTCCTCTGCCCCATGTCTGGATAGCCCAAAGTATGAAGGTTGACTGAGTAAAATGGGTTACTTAGTCATAGATTCAATCACAACAAAATGGCCCAAGAGGGACTGTATCGCTCACCTGAATATTTAAGCAGTCATAGCAAAATACTCTCATTAAATATTATATTGCACTAAAAATATTTCCCTCGCAAACTTTGTTGGCTCCATCTGTTGAAACTACCAGCAAAATATTATTATAAGATTCTATGCTTTTTGATTCTTCTTCAGAAGTTGCTGACATATTTATCCCTGTGATCTTGTAAGTAGGTCAATGTCATTTTCCTTCTCAAATTGGTTAGCTCTATTCCAAAAAGCTACCAGCCAAATCTTATGAATCCATTCCTTTTAGTTCTCAAGAACAAATCCATTAAAATGTTGTTGACCTCTGTGACCTCTAAAGTAGGTTGAGGTCATTTTCATTTGCAAACTTTGGTGAGCTCTATCCCGGGAAGTCACCAGCCAAATATTATAATTTTATGCCTTTTAATTCTTCAGAAGAAGCTGTTTGAACTGTTTGACATATTTGAACGCTGTGACCTTGAAAGTAGGTCAAGGTCATTTTCATTCGCAAACTTTGTTTGGCTCTTTCCCAGGAAGCCACCTGCCAAATATTAAGATTTTATAACTACCAGTTCTTCAGAAGAAGTCGTTTAAAGTGTTTGACATATCTGCCTCATGTGACCTTAAAAGAAGGTCAAGGTCATTTTCATTCTCAAACTTTGTTCGGCTCTTTCCTAGGAAGCTACAAGCCAAATATAGAGATTATATACCTTTCAGTTCTTCAGAAGAAGTCGTTTGAAGTGTCTGACACATTTGACTCCTGTGACCTTGAAAGAAGGTCAAGGTCATTTTCATTCTCAAACTTTGTCGGGCTCTATCCAAGGAAGCCATCAATCAAAAATAAAGATTCTATACCTTTCAGTTCTTCAGAAGAAGTCATTTGAAGCTTTTGACATATATGACCCCTGTGACCTTGAAAGTAGGTCAAACTAGTTTTCATTCTCAAACTTTGTTGGGCTCTATCCCAGGAAGCCACCAGCCAAATATAAAGATTCTATACCTTTCAGTTCTTCAGAAGAAGTTGTTTGAAGTGTTTGACACATTTGACCCCTGTGACCTTGAAAGTAGGTCAAGGTCATTTTCATTCTCAAACTTTGTTGGGCTCTATCCCAGGAAGCCATCAGCCAAATATGAAGATTTTATACCTTTTAGTTCTTTAGAAGAAGTCGTTTGAAGTTTTTGACATATTTGACCCCTGTGACCTTGAAAACAGGTCAAGGTCATTTCGTTCTCAAACTTTGTAGGGCTCCTACCAACGAACTTTTCAGCCAAATATCATGACTCTAGGCCTGTCCGTTCTTCAGAAGAAGTTGTTTAAAGGAAAAGTTGACGGACGGACGATGGACGGACGACGGACGCTGCGCCACGGCATAAGCTCACTTGGCACTTCGTGCCAGGTGAGCTAACAAACGAAGGAGCATGTAGTTCTTGTAGTTTTTTACAGGTGTTGACCGGTTTCGTACCTAGTGGGCTTCTTCAGGACCAAAGAAAGTCATTACCAAAATACAGGTTATAGGTGTCTTCAGTTTGGAAATATGTGATATCAAAGTTTTACTTTTTACAAAAACATTGTACGAATTATATCAAATTCCATGTCAGCAGTCATATATAGGTGAAACTGGGAGGAAATTTGGTACATGTCTTGAAACGTTGGGACATGTTTAATACGTTCATTGTTTGTGTAAAAAAGTCATTGTTTGTGTAAAAAAGTAAAACTTTGATATCACAGGTAATAGGTGGTTGAGTTCACAATATAAGATCTATTATGATCAAACGAAACTCAACATTACTAAAAAATAATCGTTAACAGCAGTGAAATAGTTCAGCTGATGTGACATTATAACATTACCATTCTGTCACTGCAGGAGAAGTCCTTCTTTTTACCTGGTGCCCACTTGGCTGGGCGACCAGCAGCATCTGTAACATATTCAATTAAAATGGTCATCTAATGAATGTGACACTATGTCATCATAATCGTAAATTGAAACATATCTAAAATTAACATTTACTCATTTCCCTGTTTTGTAACTTCAGTTTAGTGATATATTATAAGTTTTCATGATATTTTGCACTAAATGTATACCATTCTCACTGTGGAAACCGTAATTTGCAAGGGGGGGGGGGATTGATATGTATTCAGTAATTTTGTGGGTATTCTCCTTCAGTAATTAAAATATCAGCAACAAAATGCTTTATTAATTAATCGAGGTGCAGTTATACAAGTGGGATTCCAGAAAATTGGCCAAATCACAAATTTGTAGGCCAACAAAATACATGTAGCATAATTTACTGAAACCACATAAATATAACCTTTACTTATTTTACAACAATTATGAAGCTAGTTCTTTCACCTTATATCAATCACTTTTATTGACCCGGTTGTAAGCACACATCGGGGTCTTAGTGTGGGAGAAAACCACAAACTCTTAGCAATATTAAAGAAATGATTTCACAATATCCAAAAAGTCATTCATCTTATATAAACACCTAGCTTACAACTGACCACTACAATTTTTAAACTTACCTCCAACATAGAAACTGTCAGTTATGCTCACGGGAACGTCTTCATTTCCCTGCAAAATACTTGGATTGAATTACGTCTGAAGATACTGTATTTGATTATCTCTAAGTTATTGTACTATTCTTATCTAGTTGATGTTTCCTTCATATTTAGGTGCCAGAATGTATACCTCTTAGGGACCCCTGTCCAACAACAGGCAAAGTACTAAAGAAATATACAGTAGATTTTGTACATACATATGTACATACATACCCTACATAAAATGGTTTTGGAGATATACATGAAGTGGGACTGGGGGCCAGAGATATACTTTTATTTGTCTTCAAATTTTTATCTTCATTTCATTTTTTCATGAAATTTCTGCAAAATATATGTTTCTTTCCAGAAATGATTCATTAAATATGTTGCCATGTCTGTAAAAAGTTTTTAGTTCAAATTTAGTTTTTGTTTGTGGTACAGGGACCCTTAGCTTGGGTGCTCCAGCAGAATGGTCCTCAAAACATAAGTACAGTGCTTATAAGGTTACATACAGTGAACTTTCTATTCCATTGGTTAACATGGATAGATGTATTTTTATAAAACATGGCATAACAGGCATTTATTATACCTTCTTTATTAGAAGTGATCAGAATTGCGACGTGTACAGAGAAATTGCAGCCTCGATACTCCTGGGGTTATGCTAGCTGCCTTCAATTTTGCTATGACATATTCCAGGAGTGCCAAGAGCTATGTGATGGTTCTATTGCACCTGTAGTTAACAAACTGTGACAATAAGTTTGTCAAAAGACTTGACATTCTACAAGTAGATCTCCTTTTCACTGTCAAAACACATCAGATTCAACTCACCCTGTCCCGCAGAAATTTGAGCATGCCCAGACAGGGTTTTCTGTATACTCCATCTCCAGTGGATATTAAGATCTGAAACAGATGCACTGTAACTTATTAATTAACAGTATTTTCAACATCACTATGATGGAAAAACTGGTCTTTGGAAAAAAGATGGTCTGTCATTTGAATGGCCTCTCAATATAATGTAAACGTGTGGCAAGTATTGTAGTGTTGTTGTTTTTTTGCATCAAGCAAATCAAGTCAATCCAGTGAAAATATCAACATGCAAGATTTCCACACTACGATAAGTTTGAAGAATCACAATGCAAATATGTTCACAGTATATTTTAGACTATCCCTTATGTTAACAAGAGGCCCACGGGCCTTAATAGCTCACCTGGTATTTTATTTTTCAATTTAAAACCTGCTGAGTACCATTCAGGTTTATCAAAGGAGTACAAGTAACAAAGTTGCATCTTCCATTTATAAATATTCAATTCCCTTTGCCCAAAGATTCTCTAAAACAAGTTTGGTTAGGTTAAAATCCCTTCAACGGTACAGAAGGAGAAGGATCTTTAATGTTTTCCTCTATTTCCCCTAATGGGCCCCACTAATCTGCCCCAAAGAAGGGGAATCCACACACCTCAGTTTAAACAAAATTGATTCTTTTCTCCCTAAGCATGCTTCAGACTGCATTTGGTTTAAATCCCTTCACTTGTATAGTAGGAGAAAAAAAATCCTCTATTTCCCCTATTGGGCCCCGCTCCTATGCCGCCAGAAGGCCCACACCCTCCGTTTATACAAACTTGAGTCTCCTTTGTCCAAAGATGCTCTAGGACAAATTTGGTCAAAATCCTTCAATTGGTTGAGGAGAAGATTTTTAAAGATTTACCTATTTTCCCCTATTTGGCCCCGTCCCTCTGCCCCCAGGGGGACCATACCCTCCGTTCATACAAAACTGAGAACCCTTTGGCCAATGATGCTCCAGACCAAATTTGGTCAAAATCCCTTCATCGGTACAAAAGGAGAAGGATATTTGATGTTTTCCTCTATTTCCCCTAATGGGCCCCACCCATCTGCCCTTAGAAGGAGGCCCACACACCTCAGTTTATACAAAATTGATTCTTTTGTCCCTAATCATGCTTCAGACTGCATTTGGTTAAAATCCCTTCACTTGTATAGCAGGAGAAAAAAAATCCTCTATTTCCCCTATTGGGCCCCGCCCCTCCGCCCCCAGAGGGGCCACACCCTCCGTTTATACAAACTTGAGTCTTCTTTGTCCAAAGATGCTCTAGGACAAATTTGGTCAAAATCCTTCAATTGGTTGAGAAGAAGAACATTTTTAAAGATTTACCTTTTTTCCCCTTATTTAGCCCCGCCCCTCTGCCCCGAGGGGGGGCTATACCGTCCGTTTATACAAAACTGAGAACCCTTTGGCCAATGATGCTCCTGACCAAGCTTCAGACTGCATTTGGTTTAAATCCCTTCACTTGTATAGTAGGAGAGAAAAAATCCTCTACTTCCCCTATTTGGCCCCGCCCCTCTGCCCCCAAAGAGGCCACACCCTCCGTTTATACAAACTTGAGTCTCCTTTGTCCAAAGATGCTCTAGGACAAATTTGGTCAAAATCCTTCTATTGGTTAAGAAGAAGATTTTTAAAGATTTACCTATTTTCCCCCTATTTGGCCCCGCCCCTCTGCCCCCAGGGGGGTTATACCCTCCGTTTATACAAAACTGAGAACCCTTTGGCCAATGATGCTCCTGACCAAATTTGGTCAAAATCCTTTTGAGCCATTCAGGACAAGTAGCATTTTAAAGGAAAAAGTTGCCGGACGCTGGACGCCGGACGCTGCACCATGGGCCAGGTGAGCTAATAAATACCCAGTTCTATATGACATCATGCAAAAAAATAATTAAACTTGATTTTTATTCAAAACAAAAAATGACGAATGAACAAACTTTCATTTTTTTTTTTTGCATGATGTCATATAGAACTGGTGTTTATTTATATAACGTTTATTCTAAAATAACAGAAATGGTGACCCCCCAAAGATTAGAGAATGTCTATATATTTATTTTTACAATTTATTACCTGAGCGCTGACTCCCATCAGTTTGAGCATGGCAGTAAACTTCTGCTGCAGATCTTCTATCAATGTCTTCCCTTTCTCAACACCTTTCTGTACAAAGAAATCCACAAAAATAGAAATAAATTCTTTTTCAAAGATAGGGAAGCAGAATAATTTCTTCACCTTAAAAAATAATTTGAACATCCTAGGACTACATGTATATGTTTATCAATTGTGTATATCTAACTAAAACGCAAATATTGGCCTTTTAAAATATGGACTTTAAAGTATATACAAAATCCTTTATAACACTTATTCAGTTACTAAAAAGATTTCTTCCACATCTGTTATACAGTAAATCATGGTATGCTCTCCCCAAATTTATCAAATGTAAAATTGGTCTAGTCAATCATAATCCTTGTTAACTTTATTGTGGACACAAACAGTTTTGGTTGAAGGGTTTAAAATTCATTACATGTATATCTAAATTTTGTCAACTTTTGATCAACTTACACCGTTCATTTAACATGAACAGCTTCAAATTTATTCTGTATAGCATTACAAATTTAAAGTTAGCTTGTTCTTTCTAGTCTGACCTGATTAGTGAATAAGACAACTTTGTAGCCTTGTTCATGGAGTTTCTTTAACTTGCCAGGAACTTCTGGGTATAGGATTCTGAAGAAAGGGAAAATGCAACACACTGTCAACTTTAATTTGCCTTACTTAAAGCCAAATGTACTGTAGATGGCATCTCCAAAATACATGCACTAACATTAATCTTGTCATACCGTACATAACTGATGATAAGTCTATTCCTCCTCCTTGTCCACATCTTACAGATTAGGGTTAATATTACACTCAATGTAGAAATAAGGAGGGAAAGCCATGAAATATCAGGGCTTTATATGAAGCAGAATCCTGATTGAAATATCCCCATTTTCCATTACAGGACCCCTTAAATCTGAACACATGTGTCCCCATGACCACCTGAAATGACAACTTAAAAAATTTCAGTCTCCAAATTAATTTTAATGATGTATATGACTTAAAGCAATGAATACTGACAATTATCATTTATAAGGAACCCAAACTTTCAATCAAGGGGGTCCCAAAGACTCTCAAAAACTCCCAAAAACTCCCTAAGTCAAAATGGTGATATCCTGAATTGGATTAAATGACAGTATTTTTCTTAAATAATTACCAATACATTGCCCCATTAATATATTACCATACACTGTCCAGAGACAAATATTATCCATGCAATTTGATTAATGCAAGCTTAGTACCAATTTTCTTTCAATATGACATTTACAAATTGGTCAAACATTGCCCCAAATGCTGTGTCTATTAGCCTGAATGTTTGAATATTTCCGAATGTTACATATAAATAATACCTATCTATTTTCTTTTGCTAGTTAATTTAAAGATGCTTTTAAAAGTTATGTTTGCAAAAACCTACTTCCAATCTGCGTTGTCCTTTGGAAAGACCCGTCCCGATTTTGTTGTGATGATGGTTCCGTCAATGTCAAACCCTGCTATCTGTCAACAACGCAAGTTACCACTTATGTCAACATATAGATTAAGTATTATAATCATTATGTGCACAAATTACTTCACTAACTGCAATCTCATAAATAATACCATACATATATGAAATGTATTATCTATATATATAAGTTACAATACTATCAACTAGGGGCAGATGTTGCAAGCAATTCTTGAATTGCAATAAATTTCAATAATTAGTGAATATTAAAATATTTCGCAATAATAGTATTCCAAGAAGTTCAGTTTATTGATAATGATTTACAAAGAAAATTTGAAAAGTGAGCATCAGTTTAGCAAGCTTTGAAGATAGATTGAATATCATTTCCTACAGTTCTTAAAGTTATAACACCAAGCAAGCATATCTATTAGTTTAGATAATATACTCAATTTTAACATTATTTTTGTAAAACTCTCATTCCATAAGTTGAAAAAGTACTGGTATTGCAATTATTTACTACCGGTATTTCAAAATCATTTTGCAATGTAAAGGTCCTGTATAAATTGCTAGACAAATAATGCAATATCGCAGCATGTGAAGGGCATGAGTGGCACTACAATGTATATCCCCTATCTCAATTTATAATGGGAACTCTTTGGAAGTTTGGACAGGCTTGTTCTCTATCAGTTGACAACTACTGTGTCTACATTCAAACTTGCCAAGCCATTGTTGTCAATCTGCCTACCTTTGAACTAGCTCTTACACCTTTCCCAGTGTACACATACAGTTTATCATGGTATTCCCACTTCGACTCCTCTTTCGGTGGACCTAAGGCGTTAACTCCCTTTTTCACAGATTTTTCATCACACTTAGAACTACCTGGTGAGAAAGACTTTGAAGTAGAAGGAGTTTGATTTGTATTTAAAGTTGAATGCTTAGAATTTGATGTCTTTTTTTCTTGATGCTTTTTTGGAGATTTTTTCATCATTTTTAATTTCTCCTCAACAGCTTTCACTTGCTCCTCCTCTTCACTGCTGGATTCGGGTTTCACAGCCACTGCATTTGACAGTCTGGCTTTTTTGCTGTTGTTGTTATTATGTCCATTGTCGGAAGCAGGTCTTTTCTTTGAATGCATTGTACTATTAGATTTTTCTGAATGGATGTTTGAATTTGGTATTTTTTCTTTCACAAATTCTACTTTCTGTGGATACTGACCTGCAAAAAAAAGCATCACATATTGTTATGTACAATTTACAACAAGTACTAGCATATAGGTTCATTTAATACGAAGATATTTCTACATGCATTTGTTTCTATACATTGCTCAAATGGAGATGGTACCCTATCTTAGAAAATGTAACAATGATTGCAATTGGTTTAAATAAGCAAAAATATGCAAGCAATAAAATTGGGAGACATTTCAATCAAGGGTAGATTCTGTTATTTTGGGCATTGGTTACTGATAATAGCTCAACATTATTGAAAAATTCCATCTCTGATTGTAGGTATAAAAAAAAAATGTTATTCTGTTTACCCGGTACTTTTCAGGATAACATGTTTTGTTGTATTTTCGTTCTAGTCCATATAATTACCGGCTAAAACATAAATTGTGGCTCCTTCTTCCAGTTTGCATTGTCTCCCCTTCTCTAGTTCGATACCATCTAACGCTGAAGAGTTGTTACCAATCTGTGTCACTTTGACAGACTCTTTCTTCCAGTCAGCAATTACTTCCACTGCCAATCAAATTTTAATAAGCTTTTTATATCAGGTTATTCAGAGTTATTTCAATAGTTAATATTTAATATGCCAATTTAATTGCAGATCTGAAACACAATATAAACTGGCAATATTAATTCATCTCACCTTGACATTGATGCCATCACAATATGTTCTATGTCATTTATACTTTTATTTTCTATATGTCATTTATAATTTTATATATAAAAATGTACAAGGATTCACTAGTGTATATAATTATAAACACTTAACAGATTCATGCTAATGTCCAAGTTCAGAATTTATTTTGGCAAATTTGTTTTAAGCATATATTTATATTATAGGTATTCTTTTTGTATTACTGTTATTATGCTTTTTGACAGAAGTTCAGGCTCCTATGATATAGCTCTAGTTGGTTCAAAATGCTCTTGAAATGAACTTATGCTTACCCTGGTTTCTGGAAGACCTCGGGTCCATGATACGGGTCTGTGGACTGCGCCCGATTTGCACGCTCTGTCCATGGGGCAGGGGGATCGGATCATGCGTGTTGTTGGGACAGACCAAATTGCAAGAAAGCACTTTATATTTACTCATGGTCCGATTTTGAGAAATCTGCACAAACGATTGTTGAATCCCTCGGGTAAACGTTACAAACCTTACTACTTTACATAAGTGGCCTGCCAGAGTTGCTTGCCTTATCTTAGTATTTAACGAGAAGCGTTAATTCAACTAAATTCCTAGTTAAAATGTGGCCCTCATGCTCGCGCCAGTTTTGTAAATAAGGTATGATGATTTTCCTCCCTTTTTATACTGAAGAGCTCCACAATTTGACAACAGGAAGTTGCATGCGGTTAGATGTGTGTTGTGATCAACTCAAGAAGAAAAACACGTATTTGCGGTTTCATTTTATTTTTCATAGATTTTTTCCTTATTTGATTCACTTTATTTTCTGCGTTGTTCTTTTCAAGCTAATGCTGCCTGACAACTCTGTGACATGCATCATTTATATCAGTTTGTTGTGCGCCGCATTCAGTCAGCATTTAAAGAAACACATTTCAGATATTATGTTTTAATGAAACATGTTTGCTCTGATCTTTATACTTAGTTATTAAGTTAGTTTAAAGTTTGTTGATGTCGTGTATTTTATCATGATACTTCTCTTTATATTGTGTTTTATATCAAGTTTCCCAAAGATCATATGCAGTAATGTTGGCAAAATTACCTGTACAAACTTAATCTTCAAATCCCAAGGGTCTACAATCCCACTGCATGGCTCATTTTGTATGTATTGTATAATAGCAAAGCCGTAAATAATGTACATAAAGGAAGAAGCCACAAAAAGCATAGCTTCAGTAACTGAAGAATAACAGTGTGAAATATTCAAACTTTGGTCAATTGGTGTAAAAGCCTATAATGATTGTAGCTTATCTCAGACTCTAAAAGATATGTCATCCGCTATTTCATCCTCCATATTCAAGGTATTATGCTTTCTTATGTTCTGTCCAACCCAGGAATAGGTTGTGGCAAAATCAGAGGCAGTACATTGTTAGCTAGGTGATAAGTTTCAGATGAAAACAAATTACCAATTGCTTTGCTGATACCTAAGGCCTGTCCTTTGAAGGTTACAGAAGTGCAAGTCCTGTCTTCAAGTACATGTAGGTCAATTTTACCATGCTGCATTGGGTCACCCTAATGAGTGTCCTGGGAGAAATGAGTGTCCTGGGAGGTTATTGCGCGCCCGGGAGTTCGTTTTTAGATTTTTTTCCCTTTTTTTTCTTCCGATTCTTTAATATTGTTCACTTATATAGGTGTGTGCAAAATTTAAGTTTGATCGTAACAATAAAAAGTACCAAAATACGTCGATAAAGATGCCTATTTGGGAAGAATGAGTGTCCTGGTAGGTGTTTGCGCGCCTGGGAGTTTGTTATTAGATATTTTTACTTCTGTCTTCTGATTCATAAATATTTTTCACTAATCTAGCAGTGTGCAAAAAATCAGGTCGATCATAACAGTAGAAAGTACTAGAATACGTCGATAAATACTATTTTCACGAGGGTGAATTGAGTGTCCACAGAAGAATGAATGTCCTGGGAGGTGTTTGCGCGCCTGGGAGTTCGTTATTAGATTTTTTTTACTTCTGTCTTCTGATTCATAAATATCAGGTCGATCATAACAGTCAAATGTAACGAAATACAAGAAATATTCTGATAAAAATATGCGAGCCCTTTCACAACATGCATTAATTAAGGGAAGTAACATACTTGTTACCATATGATTCTTTTGATGTATATTAAAGGATCAAGCTAGTCTAACTTGTGTCAACCAGAAGGTGACGCACACAGAGCCTTCAATTTTGACATGATATATTCCAGGGATGCAGAGAACATAGGTGAGAGTAAGTGAGTAACCCCTGGAATTTTGAGGATACCTTCATAATACCTTTATTTCAGACACTATACGTACATTTAACTGTAAATTTTAACTGCTTGTCCAAAAACCTGCATAATCAGAACAGAAATGTGGGATCCAGGAGTGTTCAGGTTAGTCAGATGTGCTGTGTATGTTGGTTCATTGCATGAAAAATTGTGTTTTCTGTTTTTATAGTGTCACAAGTATGAGTGAGAAAGAACAGCAAATACGCCTGGTGCTGAAGCTGTTGGAGGTGCTTACCTCCCCTGATAAAATCAGAAAAGATGGAAAAGCTGAAAAAAGCAGTAAGATAAATACTCACATGGTTTCTCCATCCCAATTTTCACCTAAGTTAATTATTAACTTCTGAAGTCTTTAGAAGACATAATTTCCAAGAGACAAGTTTCTGGAACAAAAGTCATTTGATAGAGGGGCATGTACCCTTATATACTTTCACTTTAAAGTGTAAGATTGATAAATAAGTATAGAAATGACCACAAAAGGGACATCTACTTATAATTGGTACTCTCTTGTGAGACATGCAGACAGGAATTGCACACCAGTGTTTAGCATATTGCTGTGACTGCTGTCCAATAACCTGTGTTAACCAGAAGTACATATCCCACATTTAATGTGACCAGCGGGTCAAATCCAGATGAGAAAATTATCTCGGAATGGCATAGTCTGTATCTATCTTACTTTTAAATTTTGCTCAAATGATACTAATTTTTTGAGTGGAATACTCAAAACTAAGGCATTTATGATATACTATAAATTTTGTTGACTAGACATCATTGTATGTGCTTTTTAGACAATTGTAGGCTTGTCATATGATTTCTCTTCCTTGAAATATTTGAAAGGTTTACAAGTTTAAGTAGTTGCTACAGAAAAAAGGTGCTATAGATAGATAAACTAGAAATATAACTGCCTGAGTGTCAAGTTAAGTAATAACTAACCATTTGAAAAGTTAATTCTATTTGACCTTGTTTAGTTTGTACTTGAGGAATACAATTTCATATTTCAGGTGATTCAGAGGAAAATGGATTTGATGCCCTGTTGAGAACCAATTTGACCTTGTACAAAGAAATTCTCGAGACAGAAAAGTACCAAAATGTGAGATCAATGTTGGATGATTCAGTTGCCATAGAAACAGGAATAGACAGTTGTAGGTGGCACTTTGTATGTGCATGCTTGCAAACTTTGACATTGTTACAGAAATCTATTTCCATAGCAATGGAAGAATTCACAAGAAAGCTGAGAGAAAACCCTCCACCAGAGCTGAGACCAGGACAAGCACCACCCTTATCACCGGATAACCTTAGCATTGGTCATCACAAAATGGTGCTGACCGCAATTCAGTTTGTAGTCATTTTGGGGATCAGTCAGAACCTTGATTTTGGTGTTGGTATTCCAATGGAGAGAAGGTCAGAATTTGCCAAACTCTTACTTTTATCTTCTCAGCCAGACCATACATCAAATGAGAGCAGAAATGCATGCTTGTTTTCTTGTGTAAAAGTGTTCATGTTCTTGCTGGGTATTCCTTCCCTTGCTGGTCTCCTCCTGTCCAGACATCTAAATGACTTGCTTGCTACTCTGTTAATGCTGTTACATAGAATACCCAAATGTCATCAAGTCCCTAAAACTGTAAAAGATAAAATATCTATAGAAACTGTAACACCAGAATCCAAAATAGACAATTCAAATTTGGCCTCCAACATTGAAGCATCCAACTGGACACCAGCCTCTGTTGTTGACATGGTAACCAGTAAACGAATGAGCTCTTCAAACAAGCAGAAGAATACTATAGATGGTGGAGAAGCACCTGGTCACGAGAGGCAAAGTTCTAGTGACAAGGGGGAGTTCGTCAGAGAGGAACCCAGTAACAAGGGGGAGTTAGTCAGAGAGGAACCCAGTAACAAGGGGGAGTTAGTTGGAGAGGAACCCAGCAACAACAGGGAGTTTGTTGGAGAAAAGGAACTGCAGTTGTGTGAGGCATGGCTGCAACAGCTCCTAGGGAAGGCCCATCCTCAAATGCTGGTCAGAGAGCTCCTGTTATTACAAATTGGGGCACCTGTCCCTCCCAAACAGGTTAGTAGCATTATTTAATGAATTCAGGATTCCTACATGGATTTTTTTGCCTGGAATAACACGGTTTTGAACTAAGGGATAAATAAAATAATTTAAATACCGGTATACATTTGATATTTCTGTTATTCATTTCACAACAAGTACATGTTAAACCACATATCTGACTGCTGCATATCCAAATCAAAACAACTGTCATGTATCAAATTATTATTAATGTATTGTATTTACTTAATTGGTAAGATATACCATATTTTTTCTCCAATATCCGGTCATGTAAGATAACACTGGCCATGTAAGATAACCATGATTGCTGAGTCTATCTTACATAGGAGTGACATCACAATGGCTCAACAATGATGTGACGTCACAAATTTGGAAAACACAGATGCCGCAATGCGGAAAATGCAACATGATAAAATTGAAACCTTTTTGTGATATATTTACTGTACACGGTAGAAAGATCAGATTATATTTTCTGCACAAACTCTGTTTGCAAATATGAAGTATATTAAATTTTGCTGACAAATTCCTTTTTCGTCAGAAAAGCTCAGGGGAAAAATTGATATTTTCAAAATGATAGCCTGTTCAAATGCATTTTCATGGTTTCTGAGCTTATTCTGGTTGTTGGAATGAGAGAAAAATACTCTTTAATGCCAAAGAGTGGAGGGTAGGGAAATTCCACCCTCAGGATTTTCCTATCCTACACCCCTGGACATGAAAGAGTCTTATAATCTGGTCCATGTCTGGAAATAAGCCCATCCAAATATATTGCAGTTCAATAAAAATGCTATTTCGTTGTCCTGTTAGAAATCTCTGATTAATTCCTATTTGTAGGTGGGCGTTGCCAAGAAGAAGTGGGCCTCCCCAGTCTGGCTTAGGAAAGTGTGTGGACGTCTGCTCACAAACATTCTCATGAAACCCAAGGGAGTCATCCATGTCCTTCAAGGAATGCTGGAGGGTCCTGGCCAGGGTAAGATAGAGGGATGGAGAACAGGGGAGATAATAAAATGGTTAAGTAGTCATTATATTTTGTCAATGCCTCCCTTAAGGGTCAAGTCTAGGACCTCTGAATTATAAGTCTGACGCTCTACTGATTGAGCCGAGGCGATAGGCAACAGCTTTTACTTGACCTTGGTGACATACCCCCACCCCAACCCTGCTCTAGGAATGAACTTGTCTCAAGCATTCATTGGCTAACTAAGTCTGATACTCTTCCATATGAGCTAAGGAGATATTTTCCCAAGCTGAGTTGGTAGGAAGCAGCTAGTATTTTATCCAGTGTTACAGAAAGGTATTGATAGACTTGAGAGTAATCTCTGTATAATGAAAATATTATTACTGTTATACTTTTTTCAAAGTTTGGTATTTCTATCTATCAGATCTTTCAGAGAAAGGCAACTCAAAGGCTTCTGATTGGAGGAAATGTGACGCAGTTGCTAAAGTGATTGCCTGTTGTCCCATGTCGTCAACATCTGTCGAGGAATACTACGCTCTTGTTTCGCCACAGGTAATTTTGAATGTTTCTGGTAATGAGAAATAGAATACAGTCTAATGAATACAGTTAATGAACTCATGTAAGTGTATGGAATATGTTTTATAGGGATAATGTTATCACCATTTATAAAACTTCTAGAGTGTTAATTCCTTCTGTTAGTACATTATTCAAACAGACCATAAAAAATGCTTGTATTAAAGTCAGATCTTTGAAAAATATTGGATAATCGTTGTTTCCTGGATAAGTGCTGGAATTTGCTCTATAATCCTAGAAGATGCTGGAATGTGTATATACTAGAGAATAGAGACATTTAAGGACTATTTCAAATTATTTTTTTAATAATATATATTTATCATACAAGGTTGATTAGTTGTTTCCAATAAATTGTGTTTTGTGCTTTATACCAGTGTAAGCTTACCAGCAGAGTGCATCAAAACAATTTCCGGTGGTTAAAGGATTGGGACTTTGAATCCCTGCAGTACTGTATATTTGCAACATCAAAGAGAAATGTTGCTGGTTGGCGAAACCTGACCAATTTTTTGGGGCAGAACTCTGTAGCTTTTCAAAGTAATCACAGCTGGATTAAGGAAGCTCACTGTACAGTGTAGTTGTTATGGCAGAAATTAAGTGTAGATGTTTTCCTAACAGATTATGTTGCTACTGCATCATCCTGACAGCCGGGTGTGTCAGGAGTTTCTCCGAGTAGCCTGTACCACTATAGCCAGGATGATGACACAGCAGCCGGACCTGACAAGGAAATATTTGTTATCTCCCCTGATGGAACCTCTGGAGAGATGCTCGAAGCTAAAAGGTCTGTTACAGCTACTAAGAGTTGTAAAGGGAAGTGTTAAATGACAACTTTAATAGGAAATAGAGAAGGAGGGGAAGACTGATGGAATGGATAAAGAAACTTTTAAAAATATTGGAAAGCATATATATAAATTAGGAAATAAAAGTTTATGAAGGGAATTTTGTTTTTAAATACATTCAAACCTGCAATAAGGGACCATCTTTGGGAATTCCATAAATGGTTTCTTATCATAGGTGGTTTCTAATAAGGTTATGTTCACAAAGAAATCCTACTTTTGGGAACATTCAAAGTGACCTCTAACACAGCAACATGTAGGTGCAAGGTATCTTAGTAGAAATGGTTGTTAATCAATAGAATGTTGATTGCGTAGTTTTGATGAATTTCTTGAAACTTATATTTAAGAGATTGTTTTAGCTAATGAGATGATACTGTATAATGGGAAACTTTTGCTTCTTCTTGTTCTTGTTCTTCTTCTTCTTCTTCTTCTTCTTCTTCTTGTTCTTCTTCTTCTTCTTCTTCTTCTTCTTCTTCTTCTTCTTCTTCTTCTTCTTCTTCAAACTTGAACCATACCTGCATCACCCACAGAAGGTGTGCAGTGCACTGGAATTAGGTTTCTTGCTTCACTATATACATAGTTATGGCCCTTGGTTTAATTTTAATACCGAAGTTTGTCCGGATCATAACTTCCATGTTATTTCACCTACGTTGAACAAACTTACCATATTTATGTATCTTGGAAAGGTGGAATCTCTCGCACTAAAATAAGGTTTTGAGCCCCACTATATGCAGAGTTATGGTCCTTTGTTTATTTTTGATACTGAAGTTTGTCCACGGCATAACTTCCATGTTATTTTACCTACGGTACGTTGACCAAACTTGCTATAGTTTTAATGTATCTTGGGAAGTAGGAGTGTTGAATTCTAAATTCGGGTCTCGTATAAAGAGATATGACCCTTTGTTATTATTTTATACAATTTTTTTTCTATTGGCTAATAAGGGGAGACATATGTTTTTGTTTACAAAAACTAAATTCTAGTTATATTGCTACTTATCACTGCTATAATCAATTTGCCCTCATTGTGGAGGGTGAAGAAGGTGAAAATTGAAATGTGGCGAAAATGTCCTAGTATGCAGTAACTTATTTCTAGTTGAGACAGTACACATTACTTGTCAACATTTGTTGACAACGTTAACACTACAAAATATTACTAACTTCAAAAACTAACACTAATGTTTTCATAGACTGCAACATGTACATGAACAGCTGTGATATGTTGGGCAACTCAGCAACAAACCATGCTAAAAAGAACATTACAAATCAGTAAATAACATACAGAGATGTTGTGACAGACATAAATACAGTAGTATCTTACACTAATTATTATCTAACATTGGATGTCTTCCTATTTTCCCATCAGCCATTGGAGCAGGGGAACAATGTTTAGTTCAAGAAAAGGAGCTCACCACCTGCCTAGAGGATTTACATAAGGTAGATATTTTACTCTTCAGATGTTTTTATAGAAGTTAGGAACTGATTGACTGACAACTTTTCATTGAGCTAGATGGGGTTTTTTTCTTCTGATTTTTTTTCATGTCTTACAACAGAAGTTTCCAGTTGCAATGATTATAAAAAAAAGTCCCAATTTCAAAGTCCCCGTATGATAGTATTGTAAAAATCCCAGTCTAGACTGTGTACGCCACTGCAGCAATGATGCAATGATGTATACTTTTATTGCTGGTACCTGGTTTTTGTGGCTGAGTTAGGCAAACTTTGTATAGGCCTTGAAAACCCCCCTAAAATTGATGCAAAGGCCCTTAACCCACAAATTGTAACAAAAATGTCTAAGTCGAAATAAGCCTTGAATTTGCCAAAATCATCATTGAAATATATTTGTATACATGTACAGTTAAAGTGGTTTTGTTTTGTTATTCTTCATAAAATAAAATGAAATCAGAAATGAGGTATTTGTCATGAATTTATTGTAGGTATTTGTTACTGGATATGAACCGAGTACCCCCTTGCTAACCTGTGTATCACAGATATTGTACACTGTATATATAATTTTTCAGGTATTTGTGGTCGGGTGTGAACCGAGTACCCCTCTGATGTCCTGTCTGTTACCTGTAAGCCATTCCATCTTTTTGCTCTTCTGTTACGCTAAGAAGGGCGTGTCCCATCTCAGGTGAGAAATATATCCACACCGTTCTGTAAATCTAAGGACAAATAAAGTAGCAGATTTTATTACTACAATTTCACACTATTATGTTAGTGGTTATATCCATTATAGAGAGTTTGAGAAAGACTTTATATGAAATACAAACATTGTGAGGTCTTCCCTGGTAAGAATTAATATATCAGAGAGGTATATACATTACCAAAAGGAGTATCAATGACAGTATCTAAACTGATTATCGTAGGCTAAATCTGGTGGTGGAGTGGATAGCACACTCACCTTTCACCAAGATGACTGAGGTTCTATTCTTTGATCGGACGTAAAAAGGTATGGGGTCACCTCACTCAGCCAGACCACATGTGTTTTTCTCTGGGTACTCCAGTTTCCTCCCACATTAAAACCTCTGCATGCCACCATCCGAGCCAACAAGATTGACTAATATAAGTTGATAAAACTTGTTTTGCACATATTGTAAAATGTTTATAAAAAAAAAAAAAAAAAAAGAAGACTTGGGTTGATGGAGTTCTGGAAAAAGTGCTCCCATTCCCCTTCTATATCTATTTATTTCTGGAATAGCCTCTCCACATTTTACCTGGTATAACTTAAGATATTCAAAACTATGTTAAAGGCCAATGTGAAATTTCTGTAGTCTTTATTCATATTGCACTAGAATGTTCCATGTCTGTGCATAAAAGTCATTAATGTGTGTTGACCATTTCTGTTTTAGCTGTTGCTGTCAGGAGATCTTGGTTTCTCTGCTGAGAGGGTTAGACAAGGGGGAGGCCATAGCCTGTCTCCACATGTGGATACTGGGCACGGAGACAAGCCAGCTGGCAAGTGATCATTTCTGTTTAAGTAGTGCAGAAAGTTGGTTTGACCAATATCATGAATATGTATCCAGTGCATATCTAAACAGTTTATATGTACAAAAAATAAACAGATTTACCTAACTACCTAGCTACCTGCAAAGGAACTTAATACCTACATGGTAAAACAAATAACTGGCTATCATGACCAACGACCTACCTAAATACTTTCCTACTGTTAGGTAATAGGTAATTATGTAGGTAGATACATTGTATACATTAGTATTTAAGTACCTCCTTATCTACTATCTTATTTCTACAGTCATATGTTTTCTTATTTTACAGACAGGATATATTTTGTTATACACTCAGTTATTTTTACTGAACCTTAACTATTTTGATTTAATATTTAGCTCACCTGGCACGAAGTGTCAGTTGAGCTTATGGTCAACAAAGGTTTATACATAAATTAAAGGTTTAAACATATTTGACCTCTGTGACCTTGAAATTAGGTCAAGGTCATTTATTTGAGGAAACTTTATTGCACTCCGTCCCATGAACCTTTTGGCCAAATATCATGGCCCAAGGTCCTCCAGTTCTTAAGAAGAAGTGGTTCAAAGAAAAAGTTCACAACTCATTTTACTAGACCCTTAACAGTCCAGTTAGCTTAATAAAAAGCTTCAAAATCCAATCTGTAAATGTATACAATTGAGTTTGAGATGAATTTCAGATTTACATTATTGCAGGAAAGTTCTACAACTCTAGAGGCTGACAAGAAAGTTTCCATGACGATCCCTTTGACACATCCATCTGTGCGGTTTTCCGCAGGAAACAGTGGAGGAGTCACTGTTTCCACCAAGGGTGTGAACAGGTATGGTACATGTATTATGTAACTGTTCTTAAATAAGTCAAGACTGTTATAAAAATTGTTTGTCAATGTTAGTTAGATATATTAAAAATATTTTTAGCTTCACTGTTCAGTTAGCTTTTTGTTTTTTTGAGGGGTTTTAGTTTTGGTGGTTTTCATGAAAGCAATATTTTCAGCAAAAATTCAGCTGGCAAAATCAAATAGCAAATTAATTCATCCTTACTGAAGTTCTTTGTGCAGTGGCAACTGGAACTGAAAACTGTGATAAGTAGATTCCGCAAATAAGCTATTCAAGTATTAAATCTGCTAACATAATGGACCACTGAAAAATATACTTTTACAGTATTTTCTATGGGCTATTCTTATTGGATTGCACAGGAGAGGCAATGTCAATTTACCTACATGATGTTAATTGTATACCAGTCACATAAACACTTTTATAAAATGTTGGTATAAAGTTTGATATAAATATTTTATTATGAATTTATCTTTATTCATGGAATCTGCATTTAACCTCTACAGTAACCATGGTGACGAAGGAGCAGTGACCAATGAAATGATGACCATTGCAGCTATAGAGATCCTGAAGGAGTTAGAGAAGAGTGGACTGACTGGTGATTTCTTTCTTGCACTGTTAATGGTAGGACTGGCCATGACATGGCTATTTATTATGTGGTCACCTATATATCTAGTAAAAAAGGAGAAAGAGAAATGCAACAGCCAAACTAGGATTCGAAACCAGGACCCTCCAAACTCTAGACGAACTCTCTAACAATTGAGCTAGTCGTCCTTGATGACCATCCAAGTGTAGTTCTGCTACTTTCCTCCGTCCTTTTCTAAGTCTTTGCCCCCTTAGACACAGCAATTTATAACCCAGGTTCAGGTTTTCGCTTGCCAAGCATTCACCCCAGTGCTTGAAACAAGGGATGGCAAGCTTGCCAAGCATTCACCCAAGTGCTTGAAACAAGGGATGGCAAGCTTGCCAATTTTGTAACGGGGGAAAAAAGCCAACACTTACAAACAAGTCATTAAATGTTTTAGGTATACCATATTTATCCAGCAATAAAGTTATGCCTGGTAATAAGCCCGTCCATATCTATTGAAGTTCATTAGAAATGCAAACAGTTGCTATTTCATTGTCCTGCAGCATACTGAAATATATATTAGATTGCATAATGATTAGGGTTCTGCACCGGAGATGCGGATGCCAAATAGTGATCACTGTGTCTGTCTGTCTACCCGTCCACACTTGTCAGGAGTTTATCTTTGAATACAAAGGACAAATATTTTTGAAATTTGACAGGGTGATACACTGTGATAAGAAATAGTGCAATAGGGGTTTAAACATTTCTAAGATCAAGGTCACTGTTACTAAAATTAGACTATGTAGGTGAAATGTGCTGATTATGTTCTTTGATTTATAACAACCAAAATTTATATTATTATTTACCTTTTTTTCAGGAATTAACCGAAATCATTAATCACGAGATACATGGAGATTCGAGTGTTACACTGAACACAAAACGGGACGGACAAGAATTAATGGAAGCTGAAATCAGAGAAAAACGATTGGCAGATAACTTCCATCGTAAAGTTTCTGTTCTGAATCTACTGGCGGCCATTTGCGAGGAAATAGGACCTTCCTGTTTGAAAAATACCCAACAGACCCTCAAATTTGTTCAGGTTTGTATTAAATAACTCATGTATTTATGACAGCTGCTTTCCACCCCTACCTTACTTGAGAGTTACTTAAGTACCATCAAGTTAAACTATATTATTACCATTAGTATTCCATATCAACCACATCTTGGGATTCATTTTACATCATCATGTTTGTTCAAAGCTGAGTATTTGAAAACAAAAACAAACAAAAACTACAAAGCCTAGGTGGATTGAAGTGGAACTCACATTAAAAACTGGTGCAGATGTACGTACCATATTACCATTAGTGGTTATCATGTCCAAACATTGCCAAAAACATCAAAAATAAAACTGTTTGACCGAAGATGTTTATAATAAGCAATTAGCAATCTTCCTGTTAATTTATAATCCAAAACTTCTGTATTTGATATAGCACAAATGAAATGCATTCAAGCAAAATGTATAAAGGAATCTCACAAAGGCAAATCAACCTCAGAAAGTCAAGAAGTGCATATCTAAACAGTGTATGTGTACATAAAAATAAAAAGATTTACCTAACTACCTACCTGCAAAGGAACTAAATACCTATATGGTAAAACAAATAACTGGCTATCGAGACTTACGACCTACCTAAATGCCTTCCTACTGTTAGGTAAAAGGTTGTTATGTAGGTAGATACACATTAGTATTTAAGTAACTCCTTATCTACTATCTACAGTCATATATTTTCTTATTTTACAGACAGGATATATTTTGTTATACACTCAGTTATTTTTACTTCAGACCCTAAACTATTTTAATTTAATATTTAGCTCACCTGGCACGAAGTGTCAGTTGAGCTTATGGTCAACAAAGGTTTATACGTAAATTAAAGGTTTAAACATATTTGACCTCTGTGACCTTGAAATTAGGTCAAGGTAATTTATTTGAGGAAACTTTATAGCACTCCGTCCCATGTACCTTTTGGCCAAATATCATGGCCCTAGGTCCTCCAGTGCTCAAGAAGAAGTGGTTCAAAGAAAAAATTGACAACTCATTTTACTGAGTATAAAGGAATCTCACAAAGGCAAGACAACCTCAGAAAGTCCAAAAACAACAGTTGATTGAACAAAATGTGCTACCTGTATTCAGAAAAAATTGTTTCATTGTTTGTATACATAAAGAATACTGCATTTGAGAATTAATGCACTGAGGTCAAGGTCACAAAAAGAGGTCAAAGGTGAATAATGTTTAAGGTTTATTTATTTGGTACAATGTAAATTGTAGCTTTGTTTTACAGGTGACACTTGAGAGAGGTGTACAGGTGTGCAAGAACACCTGTGACGACGTTCTTGGAGTATTTGAGAGTGAGACACTCACCATGGCAATGGGAATGCTCACTGCTGTGCTTACTGGCACCATTAAGGTGAGTAATGTAAAACCACAATTGTGAAATGTGGGAACGGGTCAATCTTGTTTTAATTAATTGTTTGACTGATAGGGAAGTTATAATTAATGACTGATAGGGAATTTAAAGATACTATCTCCTTTGATCACCATCTAATGCTTCTTTTGATTGAAAAAGCCAACAGTGTACACATGATTTATTTCCAGCCAGTTCTTTAATCTTGGATGTGTTATTTTATGCAGACAAAATGGCTGGTATGTTTTTTGATGCATTGTTTCGGGAATAAAGCCTGTTAGATCTGCAACATTTAATGTAGGCTTTGAAAGTCTTTGCCAAAGCTTGACAGAAAGAGGCATTATATCGATCACTAGGACCATCCCTATTTCATAAACAAAAAACGTCCACCTGGTTCAACCATTTAAGACGTTGATACAAAAGCGGCCCTTGCTACACATTGATACGTGCTCTGTTTGTGTGAAAACTTAATGTTGTAATCTTATATCTATGCAAGTGATTAATTATTGCAGATATTTATAGAATGATAGTTCATAAGATTATTTAAGCCAGATGTGGGAATGGTCTAAGACTGTTTTTTGACTACAGATCAGTGAGGATGGCAGGGAATATATGAAGACACTGATGCCACTGTTAGAAGATATCAGCTCCAACCATCCTGACAACACCATACAGGAAATGGCCTCTGACCTTCGAGTTGCCATAGCAACCCACAGTGTTATCTGGTCAGAGCTGCTTAAAAGTAGCACAAAGGGAGATAAGCGGCAGAAATTGCCATGCAAGGTATGTACATGTATTGCCATCTGTACTTGTAGCTCAAGAAATTTTGATATACATGTATATCAATAAATTGTTGTTGAGATAATATTCAGAATTATGACACAAAGTGTTTATTTTCTCCATTTTACATTATTTTAATTGATTACTTTGCTTAATTAGTTTAATTTCTTCTGCAGTACAAGGTAAATGGTTAGTAATTTCTGCTGGTAAGGTTTATTGAGAATTGTGGATGGGTAGGGTTTACAGAATTTGAGTGGTACAAATCCCTGAGCAATTATTGGTTGGGCAGGAGAAGGTGATAATTATCATCCAATACTGGAATTAAAAACCTTAACCATCTACACATGCAAGGCTAGTTGCTTAACTATTAGATCAAAAGTCCATCTTCTATGAGCTAAAATAAATAGCAAATGCTATGAGTGAGCCAGATCATGTTGCAGTTTCTAATGTTTTCTTTGGTCACTTCAAAGAAACACTCTTCCATTCATTCCATTCAAGCATCAAATTCATACTAATCGCATTCTTTTTTGATCATTAAATAAACTATTGTAACTTTCTCTTTTAGCAGGACTCCCAAAGTGCTGAGGAATCTAAGGTGGGCAAAAAAACTTTGGTGGAGGTGATAGGTGAAACTTCAGATGAACATTGTCAAAAATCGGAGGAAAGTCTACAACCACTGAGACAGGGTTCCAGTGAAATGGGAATCTCTTCTGATAAAGGTGTACAACAAAAGCATTCTGCTTCAAAACCAAGGACCCAAAAGGAGAAGGAATCCGCAAAAAATATGTCAGAATTAGGACAAGCATTTGAGGAACTCCAAGACCCCCTTATTCCTGTCAGGGGGCATGCTTTGATTACGTTGAACAAACTGATACAGAAGAAAGATCCTGAGGCAATGGAGAAAAGACAGATTTTATTGCATGTTTTTAAGGAAAATCTGCATCACCCAGACTCTTACCTTTACTTGTCTTCAGTGATGGGATTAGTCACGTTGGTAGACAAGTTTCCAGACGCCGTGATTCCAGTTCTCATTGAAGAGTTCCTGTCAGGGGCAACTTCGACCCCCGCCCAACAAGGGGAGACAACAAGGCAAGCTGATGACAGGATTAAAGTTGGGGAGTGTCTTGTACAGACGTCAAGGAAATTAGGTAATGTTGACTCAAAAGGGGCCAAAGGGATCATTTGGTTTCTAGACATAATGTACACCTGGGGCCTGTTTAACCGGTTTGCCTGTTTTTAAATGTAACATTTTCGGGTATAAATCCTGGCGGACCTGCAAATGTTTATGCAGGCCTTGCAAGGCTTTGTCAAGGCTCGTCTGAAAACAGCATCTGATTACTAGGTCCACCCTTATTTCATAAGGGAACAACTCTGAATGAACTCACAATGAATTGCTATGTATATTATGTTATTTATTATTACACCTCTACTTTATTTACTCTATATAAAAGTGATTGGTTAAATCTAATATATCCACATTTTTGCCTGAGTGTGTTTTAGTCCTGTGTGTTAGTCTGGGAACTAAAACACCCCTACACTCGGGTGTTTCTGCCGAGCCAATCAGGCGAGAGGTGGGCGGAGCTTGTTACCGAACTCGGCAGTGACGCGCGAGGTGGGCGGAGCTTGCTACCGAACTCGGAAGCATTTGGCTCCATTGCCATCAAAAGGGCATCTTATGGTTTACAAATATTTTCTAGTTAAAACTATCTCTTCAGTGTGTATTGGTATAATAAAACGGTTAAAGTATGGGGTTGAGATATATAGCAAGTTGCCGGTGTCCCTTGACCATGCCTATTTCCCTCGGCTTCACCTCGGGAAATAGACCTGGTCTCGGGACACCAGAAACTTGCAATATTCCTCAACCCCATACTTTAACTGTATACTATTAAACATTCGCTGTCAGAATTCACCCTAGTTACAAAGGAAATGAAAAAAGAAATGATGAGCAAAAAAATCTGGTACAAAATGTAATGTTTGATTTACATCCTACGTAAGGTATCCACCCCAGGATCCCTACCGCCACTATAGAACTGACTTCCTTGCATGAACGATGGGTCTCCACCCCCCTGCTGTTAGGTATCCCCCCAGGATCCCTACTGCCACTATAGAACTGACTTCCTTGCATGGACGATGGGTCTCCACCCCCCAGGTGTTACTAGTAACAAAGGGTTAAAACAGCGAAAGTTTAACATCAGCAAACTTACTTTGTCAGTATTTCGCTTTACTCCAATATGGATACTGACAACGCTGCTACATCATTTGTTTTCAAGCATTTACGAAATTGTATAAAATGTATAAATCACTCAAGGGGATTGGAGACGTCTCTTATAAGTTGAAATCTGGTGATGATTACCGCCTTGGAATCATGTAGAAAACTGAGTCTCCGCTAATTGCTCATCATATGCCTGAATAAATCATCAAAAGGCAATAATCTGCTGTGTTTTCGCAGCTCTGTTAGAATTTAATAATATATGAATGTTGCCAATAGGGTTTGGGGTGTACATTACTGTTTTGTAGGACTGTGGTACTCTTCCATTTTAACAACTTGATGAACTTTTTGTGACATTTCTTGTTGAAGGTGACATGGCGCCCCGTTACCGTGACAACCTTCTGATGACTTTCCTACAGGGATGTCTGGACACTGATCCCCTTATTCGAGCCAGCAGTCTTTCAAACTTGGGGGAGCTCTGTAAAGTACTGCGTTTCTCTGTCGGCAACTTTATTCATGAGGTAAGTTCTCTTCGGCTGTTTTATAGATATTCAAATTTCTATTTTGGTAATGTTATGAAAAGATAACTCCAGTTGAGCACATGTACATTGAATAGAGGGCAAAGTCATTTATGATAAATTAACTCATGCTCAATGTTATCTCCTCATAGCCTGACCAAAATCAAAAATTATTCATTATGTTTACAGTATTTTTCTGTGAATGGTTCATACAGTAACTATTTAATTCATTAAAAGTCTGATCAAGGGACACAAATTTGCATAAGGCTTGGTTAACTCCGTCCACATCTACTGTTGATTTATGTCACATGATTGTGTCCTGTTCACGGACAATTTTCATATCTCTGACATGTATTGTTGTTGATGTCATAGAAACTTATCACGATTTGTGGTAAGGTTATGAGATAAGCCTAGTTTACGGAAACAAGATATTGAGTGAAAGTCAATGTAAACTAAATATTTACCTAGCTGTTCCTTTTTTGTAGATGTTTATCTTTTGCTGTACAATTGTCCATTCTTTCAGATATTTAACTGTGCCTGTGGATTGCTGAAGTCAGACTTCAGTGTAGAGGTGAGACAGGCTGCAGCCATGATGGTAAACCTCCAGCTAGAAGGACTGGGAAAGGACACCCTTACGGTACATACATACTGTTCATCAGTAAATAAAAATTGCTTTATGAATATGTTTCCGTCCAGTCCCTATGTTCAGTTGATTGAAGTTTTGTTAGCTATTTGATTTGTTGGATGAGGTTTTCAGACAAAGTATATTTTCAAAACAAATTGTTTTACCCGAAATATCTTCAAAACATTACCATCTACTTGCATATACTTTCGGAATAAATTTGCTTAATCCAGTTATATGGGGCTATATACCTTAACCCTTTCACCACTGTAGACTCATCCAGATCAATGTATGGTAGAGTCTACTTAAGTTACCTAGTGGTGAAAGGGTTAAAGTGCATGTTTTTATGGTCATCTTATTAAAGCAATTATCAAACTGAAATCATTGCTCTAAATAATGATTGTGGCAATTGGAGTTTTTGTATATTGATTTCTATTACATGTTATTGTAGGTATATTGATACATCAATGCACTTGACTGTTAGAATTGACAGTTTGCTGACATTTGAGTATACTAAAATAAGTTTGTCTTTGATAGTGTACCGTATACCAGGATATATTTGCCGTCCATAATAAGAAATTACACATCATTGTGATAGCAAAATGATTTATTGGCACCGTGGACATGCTGTATTGGAGCTAGTCGTTCACTGTACAGTTCTGTTGTAGGTAATGGAGTCAGTCATCAGTTCTGTATACAGAACTCTGAGGCAGTGCATGGTGACGGAGAAGGAAAACGGTGTTAAAATGCAGATCACTCTAGCGCTGAACACCCTCGACTCAATCACTAGGGATGTTATGTTCCCTAAACGAACATTGGAAAAGAAGATCAGAATACTTGACACCAGTTAGATAACAATAATGGTAAATGGCATTGTTGCTTAAAAGTAGATTCTGAAAAAGTGAAAATGATTCCGATACCCTTTGAACAAAATATATATCAACACAATTCAAAAACAGCATGCATTGTTTGCCCATAAAATTTAGATATTTGTGTAAGGATATGCTATCATATCCATGGTTTAGATGATGCTTCTGTAGATATTAAATAATAAAGGTTTGAGTTAATCTTTTCAAAGTGTTTAAAATATCGTCAATACTAGCAAAGACAAAAAACACTAAGACAATACTGTGTCAACAAAACAGTAGGTCAATCTCATAATCGTTAAAACGGGGGCAAACCCGCCATGTAATTATAGGTCAAATACAAGTATAATGTCACGTCCTTAAAGTGAGAGCCAGGGTGGTGACAACGGAACAACAATGCATACTAATGAGAATTATCAAAAGCATCGACCATAATATTACGATGAGACGCGATCATGATGGCAACCTCAAAACGTGCCCATAGTCTTTGTTAGACTGCATCTCTAAACCCGCTGTTGTAAATGTGTCCGTCTTTATTAAACTGCTTCTCTAAACCCGCTGTTGTAAATGTGTCCGTCTTTATTAAACTGCTTCTCTAAACCTGCTGTTGTAAATGTGTCCATCAGAAGTCGGGGACTATAACAGAAATGATGATATTCGGAGCACAGCCTCACTCAATGTCGACAAAAATGACCATTACGGAAACCAAAGAGATGCTGAAATTGAAAGAAAGACATCTTGAACACCCACACAAACATTCCATTTATGTAATTTATTCGACTATAAAGTACGCATATTCTGGATATTCTTAATACCAAAACCACTCCTGAACACCGTTTTTTTTCAAATGTCTCCATGTGTAATTCATTAAGTCATATTTTTGTCCCGTTTCATCGATTTTGAGTTCAAATTCCGTTGGACGTGACATGTTAACTCTAACAGAGTGGGACAATATTACTGGTATGGTACTCATGAAGAAGTTAACGATATTAACCTGTATCGCTCCGGCAAATATTTGCACTTTTGAAAAAATGAAAAATATTGAACATCAACAAACCACAGGATGTTTGAAGTTTTGAACATATTTGACATTTTAACTGGATCTTGTGTCAATATCATTTATTTGGGGGGAAAACATTTCACTCCAGTTAGCTACTGTCAAAACATAACCATACACCTTATGGGTCAGTAAAAGAAGTCAAAACTGTAAATGTGAATGAGGAATGATGGACTTAATTCGATGGTCGTGGGAAATCAAATTATTTAAGAAGACAACAGCAGGAACCGATCGTGACTAGACACAAAAATTCAATAAAAGAAACAATGACTGCCACAAAACAAAATGCAGCAAAATCAAGTATGAACGGATTCGTCATAATGCATCACGTCAAATCCAATACATTAGTCAAAGATGAACGATTTAACAATTCATCATTTGATTGAAACCTTTGTTTTTGATATTGATAATCTAGCTCAACCCACGATAGGTATTCAAATCTGAAATACCTCTAAGCTATTCAGATATGCCATGTTTCTCTTTCCCTTTTTGTCTGTTTTAGCCCAGTATTTACCAAACCGTTACAATAGAAGGGCATATCACATTTAACTTGGTTTTTAGCTCAACTACCCTTATTTTTAGCTCATCTGCCCAAAGTGAGCTAAAATAAGGGCAGGTGAGCTAAAAACCGAGTTAAATGTGATATGCCCTTCTATTGTAACAGGCAAAGGGCAGGTGAGCTTATGTCATGGTGCGCATCCGTCGACCATCATCATCCGTCAACTTTTCCTTTAAACAACTTCTTCTGAAGAACGAACAGGCATAGAGCCATGCTATTTGACTGAAAGCTTCATTGGTAGGAGCCAGACAAAGTTCAAGAACGAAAATGACTTGGACCTACCTCCAAGGTCACAGGGGTCAAATGTGTCAAACACTTCAAACGACTTCTTCTGAAGAACTGGAAGGTATAGAATCTTCAAATTTGGCTGGTGGCTTCCTGGGATAAAGCCCAACAAAGTTTGAGAATGAAAATGACCTTGACCTACTTTCAATGTCACAACGGTCAAATATGTCAAACCCTTTAAATGACTTCTTCTGAAGAATTAAAAGGTATAGAATCTTTATATATGGCTGATGGCTTCCTGGGATAGAGCCCGACAAAGTTTGAGAACGAAAATTACCTCAACCTGCTTTCAAGGTCACAGTGGTCAAATATGTCAAACTCTTTAAACGACTTCTTTTGAAGAAGTAAAGGGTATATAATCTTTATATATGGCTGGGGGCTTCCTTGGATAGAGCCAAACAAAGTTTGAGAATGAAAATGACCTTGACGTACTTTCAATGTCACAACGGTCAAATATGTCAAACGCTTCAAATGACGTCTTTTGAAGAACTAAAAGGTATAGAACCTTCGTATTTGGCTGGTGGCTTCCTGAGATAGAGCCCGACAAAGTTTAAGAATGACAATGACCTTGACCTACTTTCAAGGTCATAGGTGTCAAATATGTTAAAAACATCAAACGACTTCTAAATAATCGAAAGGCATAAAATTATAATATTTGGCTGGTAGCTTCTTGGGATAGAGCTAACAAAATTTGAGAAGGAAAATGACATTGACCTACTTTCAAGGTCACAGGGGAAAATATTTCAAACAACTTCTGAAGAAGAACCAAAAAGCACAGAATCATATAATATAACAATATTTGGCTGGTAGTTTCAACAGATGGAGCCGAAAAAGTTTGCGACGGAAATATTTGTAGTGCAATATAATATTTATTGAGAATAATTGCTATGACTGCTTAAATATTCAGGTGTTTTTTATTTTGATATGGAATATCCCATGAGCAACGGCATTCAATGTGCCCCGATAGCGGTAGTGGTATGTGAACATTTTTATTTTCGGTAAAAATGCCACCCCAATGATCATATATATGATCATTGGGGTGGCATTTTTGCCGACAATCGATCTAAACCCCCCAAACGTGTAAAAAGGTGTTTAGGTCCAAATATAGCTGTAACAAATTATCACGTCCCAGTGTTCCAACTTAGATTATCGGGAGTGGAAACAAAATTACTTCAATAAACAATATTATTCGCAATATATAAAGAGTTAGGAAGATGAATCTGAGCACACCACTTCCTCCGAATCGTTGTAGAATTAACTTTGAAGAATGACACTGTAACCTGCAAGTGGGAACGTAAATTTTCTGTCAAAAATGTAATTGATGGTATGAACCTTGTGTCAAAAAAAGACAAATACTCATTGGAGTTTTTCCTGTATAAACGACTCTTGTCATTCAGGTGGGAGTTTATAATGGTTATTCGACCTCCCTGATGTAAATCTTATCATTATTGTTGGCTGTGACAATTCCCTCCAGTATTCGCGTCTTCTCAACTCATAACAAAACGACTTGCGTGGTGCATTTGGGAGTGTATCCCATTAACGACAAGAAAAACTATTCAAGTTCACCAACGTTTAAATCGAAGTTTTCAAATTGTGGTAAAAATACTTATAGATAATGCAAACATAGATAATGCAAACTTATTCCTGTTGGGTAACATATGCAGTCAAGAAACATTTACCAAGAACATAATTTCGCCCCGCCTTTCTTTCGGTGTCTCCTCAGTTCTTCTGGCCTTTTTGTCTCGGATTAATGTTCCAATGTCGTGTTGGGTGTTGACACTACTGCAATTGTTTCTTTTTACCTATCGTTGTCACGTATAACGTTTTTGTCAGAATGTAAGTCTCTATATGGATATATTGTAGTTTCCCAAAGGACGAGTGTGGAACTAGTATTTAGATAGTCAATACTTTAAGAAATTAAAGATTTTGAAATTGTGTTTAAAAACCGCGTAAAGAGAAAACGACTAGATTTTCACATGTAGTGCCGCAGAACACAATCAAAGACCCACGTACAGTATATTACAGTCATATGAAACATTATGGATGACTTACTAGATTATCAATGCTACTAGTTTTAATTCTACTTTTAGTAAAATGTTTTTGTGAGTAACCTCTGTTGAAATGAAAACATTGTACAGAATGTTAAAAAGATACTTCTCATGTATTCAATTTATTGATTATCTAAAATCCAGACAGCCAAATATTTTCCTGATATTCTTATAAACTATCATATAGTTTTATTCGTTATATTGATTCAGGTAGTCCTGCGTCAGAATTTTTTGCTTGTTTGCTTGTTTTTATACCCCCACAACGAAGTTAGGGGTATACTTGAATCAGTTTGCCTGTCCGGATGATTGTCCAGTCAACTTCTCCAAAACTACTGGGCCAATTTCAATAAAAGTTTTCAGATATGATAAAAACCACCTGATATTGTGTATCAAGGTACTATTTGTTGAATCTGAACCTTTTTTAGGGAGTAATGGACCTTTGTTGAAAAATCATTTTCCGGACAACTCCAAAACTATGTGGCCAATTTCAACGAAAGTGTTCAGATATGATAACTACCACCTGATAGTGTGCATCCAAGTATTATTGTTTTTCATTCTGACCCTTTTTACGGAGTTATTGCCATTTGTTGAAAAAAGATTACCTGGACAACTTCTCCAAAACTACTGGACCAATTTCAATGAAAGTTTTTTTTAGACATGGTAACTGTCCCCTGACGTTGTGCATCCTATATTTACTTTTTTATTCCGACCCTTTTCAAAGGAGTTATGTTAAAGCCCTTTGTTGAGAAAAAAAACTGTGTCTGCCTCCTAATTAACTACTGGGCCGATTTCAATGAAAGTTTACAGATATGGTAATTATCCCCTGATGTCGTGCATCACTGGTTTTTTCCCCCTTTCGACCCTTTTTAAGGAGTTATGGTCCTTTGTTAAAAATCTTTGTCCTGACAACTCTCCCTTGACTATTAGGACTATTTCAGTAAATCTGGTTCATCTGGCCTAGCAAGATTTGGTTTGCATGTATGTCTTGGTAGGGAGTACAGGAAATTTGTCAGTGACCTATATACTTCAATTAGTATACAGCTCAGTGAATGAAGAAATCATTACTGGTGGGAGACTATGGATTGCTTTGCAATGATTTGCCTTAGTTAGCCTTTACCATACAATTCTGGTGTATATAGGAGCGGGGTATTGGTTAGTCTTTTGCTTACATTTCTAAAATTGAATTAAAGAAAACTGTCATTGGTCTCCAAAGTCCCCAATAGCATAGATTATTGTACAATGAAACATTTCTGTCTCAGAGGTCATTGTTAGCGTCTATCATAACCAGATGTCCATATATGGCGTTGTTTAGTGTCTACCCTTGTCAGATGTTGTTCACTGTCTCGCTTATCATTGATGTTTTCGGTACATTCTTGTATATAACTGGAGACACTTATGGGTACCACATCTGGTGCCGGAAAACATTGTTTCGTAGCAATATTTCTAAAAGGCGACAGGTGTGGGTACCCCGAAAATCAGGGCTTTTCTGTCGTCTTCGAAGAGAACACTTGGGATCAAATTTGTTTCCCATCCTTCCCGTCTTGTTTTATTTCATTCTAATATCTCTTCCCGGAGGTGTCTCCCTAGGCACCCGTCCTCATACATGTATGACCCTCGTTGTTGCAAGGACGTTAAACCAAAAACCAAATAACATTGTGTGATCTGTTTGTTTCTTTGTGTTGTTTTTATTTTCTAATTAGTCACTAGTATTGTCTTTTCGTATCGTTTCAGATAAAGATAATTTTGTCATCGTGCGATGAAACTGGGGTCTATTTTGTCCCTCTGTGTTGGTACTGTGGTTTATTTTGTCCCTCTGTGTTGGTACTGTAGTATATTATGTTAGTAAAGGTAAGGCTGTACCGAAGTGTAAAATAACGTAACATGATCTCAATATCGATGAAACTAAAGAAACACTCATGAGCAAAATCTAAATCATGTATTGGTTGGTCTACTGTGTCTTTTTTATTATTTTCCATCTTCATATTGATAAATATAATACACGTGCCTCGTCAGATTGTTTTGTTTTGTGTCGCATGATCTGTAATAGCTAGGTTATCTTGATTTATGATTGTTTAAACTTTCACACCAAGAGACTTCCATAATCTTTCTGTGTTTTTGCGTTGCCCTTACAAACAAAATTCGAAATACATCTTTCACAATTTATTATATATTAATATTTATTAATGTATTACATGTAAGTGTATTGGTTATCTCTGTCAAACGGAATAGGTATAAATTGATCATACTTTTCGAAGCGATTTTTAGCATGTATATGCTAAAAGTCGAGAGAAAAAACACATTTCAAAATTGTAAATCTTCAGTGCGATTATAACTAATGCCGTAGTACTCTTTTTCTTAACACCAATAGCATAAATATTGATTTGTTTCATATTTAGTTGCTTAAGCTGCCAGTTCAGTAAAGAGTTTCCAGTAACGGAGATTAAGTGTCAATCCACTAGTGATACACGTTGTTCAGTTACACATAATTAACGTATACAGTAACACACAGGCAAGGATGTTGATAATAATATTTTATTAATTCACTACATTTATGTACATACAAATATATCTAATGAAATAGGAAACAAAAATATAATTCAACTAATGATTCTCTTAAATTACCCTTTCACTATGTCGATCTGTTTCTTATCAGATATGAAATAATTTTGATAAAATTTCGATAAAAGATGTACTAGTAATCAAAAGAGATGTTTCTAATTTACGTATTAGATTTAATATATGGAGTAATCAACGAAGGGATAATCTAAAGAGAAATATACTAACAATGATTAATATGAGAAAAGGGTATTGCCAACTTGTTCTTGACATTCAGACGTTATAAAATTAACATCTTTTTGCAGATATGTTACTATCGACCTCAGATTTCCTGAGTATATATGGAGGAATTTCCCGTGTTTTCTGCTATAACATTTCAGCGATGTGGATGGTTCCATGTCATCACAATCGAATATATTTCGAGATAAAAAATATTATTCACGTATTTTTATTGTACAATATTATCTAAATGGTTTCTTTTGAATCTTGTTTATTATAAACGTTCATTATATGGATAATTATGCGTCTTCTCTAAAACAGGTCACTGATATTACCAAAGAAATTAGGTATATCTGCGTCTTAAACAATTAGATTTAAACTAATTACTTTAGTTATCAATAGCACTATTCCAAACTCGACTTTCAAAACACGAATCAATAAAAAAAAAATTGAACGATTGGGTCTGGTAACATGACATACATGCGCCATTATTCCAAGAAGATAATAAAGGGATATTTTCGAATACACTTTATCTCAAAGTTTGTCAATGCAATCTGATTGAATTTGACATCAAGAGGACCAAAAGGAGTGGATTTAAACAGATTTATCCCATATTTGTTGAAATGAATTTAAGGATATACATCACAAGCCGACACATCAAAGTGAACATAAACGCACTTTGAAGTTATTTAAGTATCTGTGCCGCGAAAATGGTCACTTCTACAAGTTTACATCAATATTTTATCATAATATCATAATTCTATATACATATCACATTGGTTCAGGTATATACCGGTATGTCGTATGTGGTGTCTTCAACATTTTCTAATGGCAAATAGAACAAGTATTTTGTACGACACCGAACACTTTTATAGCAATTATCATTGGTATCACGGCATTAAAATATGTGCATGGACAAGTATATTTTCATACATTTGAAGCATTCAATAGTTTGTTATGTCGATTCATAATTTGTGTGGTAAGATATAATAAAAAATAATCTAAATGGAAAAAAAAATCTAAAACAGGAAGTTGGAATGAGGATATAAAACTGGATGAATAAAAGATATATTCGACGGAGATGATTTTGCATTTTTCTCAGAAACATTGTTTTGAATCATTTTGTAAAAAGTTGCAGTAACGTAGAATTGGTTTTTATTTATTGGTTTAAGGCTCCAAACTTTTTTTTTCAAATTTTAAACATAACCAAACCAGAGGCGCAATGTTTTAGCTTAACACGAAATATCGTCCAAATTATCACGTGAGAAAAATGCAAATTAATATATTGAGCAAAGAGAATTTGGGGATGGTTAAATATTGCTGTACGTAGAATGGTGCCATGTCTAAAGGAAGACAAGGGAAGTTTTCGAAATAATTCATTTTCACATCGTCCTGTTCATCGAAGTTCTGTTCCATTCTAATGTTGAAATGTTACAATTGTTATTGTTTTAATTGGTGTCCATGTCGAAACATCCGGGTATTGGAATCACCGAGTCTCGTTACGTTAACTTGAATAGGACAGAGGTAGTATTGCTGTGCTCCTGACGATATTTCTTTAACTCGGCGTAATGCACTGGAATAGAAAATAATATGTAACAATTCATGATGTCAAATGGTTTTGACAAACATGTTTATTAAAACTACGATGTAGAAACCTGCAATATATTCAATACCATTAGTGTTGTCAAAAATTAACATAACTCGCAGCCAATATTTTTTATCAAGTAATCCCGTAGGTAATAGTTCTACTCATGTCACACGACATACCTTACATTCTCAAAGCGAAAATTTCTAGTCAGGTAACACTATATGCCTTGTAAACAATCTCACAGCGAAAATTTGTAGTCAAGTAACACTATATGCCTTGTAAACAATCTCAAAGCGAAATTTTCTAGTCAAGTAACACTATATGCCTTGTAAACAATCTCAAAGCGAAAATTTCTAGTCAGGTAACACTATATGCCTTGTAAACAATCTCACAGCGAAAATTTGTAGTCAAGTAACACTATATGCCTTGTAAACAATCTCACAGCAAACATTGCTAGTCAAGTAACACTACATACCTGGAAATCTCACAACGAACATTTCTAGTCAAGTAACACTATATATATACCTTGCAAGCAATCTCACAACGAACATTTCTAGTCAAGTAACACTATAGATAAATATACCTTGCAAGCAATCTCACAACGAACATTTCTAGTCAAGTAACACTACATATATATATACATTGTAAGCAATCTCACAACTAACGTTTCTAGTCAAGTTACACTACATTTCTTACAATCTCACAACGAACATTTCTAGTCAGGTAACACTATAGATACATATACCTTGTAAGCAATCTCACAACGAACGTTTCTAGTCAAATTACACTACATTTCTTACAATCTCAAAGCGAACATTTCTAGTCAAGTAACACTATAGATACATATTCCTTGTAAGCAATCTCACAACGAACGTTTCTAGTCAAGTTACACTACTTTTCTTACAATCTCACAACGAACATTTCTAGTCAAGTAACACTACATATATATATACATTGTAAGCAATCTCACAACGAACGTTTCTAGTCAAGTTACACTACATTCCTTACAATCTCACAACGAACATTTCTAGTCAAGTAATACTATAGATATATATACCTTGCAAGCAATCTCACAACGAACGTTTCTAGGTCAAGTTACACTACATTCCTCTCAATCTCAAAGCGATAATTTCTAGTCAAGTAACACTATAGATACATATACCTTGTCAGCAATCTCACAACGAACGTTTCTAGTCAAGTTACACTACATTTCTTACAATCTCACAACGAACATTTCAAGTCAAGTAACACTATAGATACATATACCTTGTCAGCAATCTCACAACGAACGTTTCTAGTCAAGTTACACTACATTCCTTACAATCTCAAAGCGACAATTTCTAGTCAAGTAACACTATAGATAAATATACATTGTAAGCAATCTCACAACGAACGTTTCTAGGTCAAGTTACACTACATTCCTTTCAATCTCAAAGCGACAATTTCTAGTCAAGTAACACTAAAGATACATATACCTTGTAAGCAATCTCACAAGGAACGTTTCTGTTCAAGTTACACTACATTTCTTACAATCTCACAATGAACATTTCTAGTCAAGTAACACTAAAGATACATATACCTTGTAAGCATCTCACAACGAACGTTTCTAGGTCAAGTTACACTACATTCCTTACAATCTCAAAGCGACAATTTCTATTCAAGTAACACTATAGATAAATATACATTGTAAGCAATCTCACAACGAATGTTTCTAGTCAAGTAACACTATAGATACATATACCTTGTAAGCAATCTCACAACGAACGTTTCTGTTCAAGTTACACTACATTTCTTACAATCTCACAACGAACATTTCTAGTCAAGTTACACTACATTCCTTACAATCTCACACTACATTTCTTACAATCTCACAACGAACATTTCTAGTCAAGTAACACTATAGATACATATACCTTGTAAGCAATCTCACAAGGAACGTTTCTGTTCAAGTTACACTACATTTCTTACAATCTAACAACGAACATTTCTAGTCAAGTAACACTAAAGATACATATACCTTGTAAGCAATCTCACAACGAACATTTTTAGTCAAGTAACACTATAGATATATATACCGTGCAAGCAATCTCACAACGAACATTTCTAGTCAAGTTACACTACATTCCTTACAATCTCACACTACATTTCTTACAATCTCACAACGAACATTTCTAGTCAAGTTACACTACATTCCTTACAATCTCACACTACATTTCTTACAATCTCACAACGAACATTTCTAGTCAAGTAACACTAAAGATACATATACCTTGTAAGCAATCTCACAAGGAACGTTTCTGTTCAAGTTACACTACATTTCTTACAATCTAACAACGAACATTTCTAGTCAAGTAACACTATAGATATATATACCGTGCAAGCAATCTCACAACGAACATTTCTAGTCAAGTAACACTAAAGATACATATACCTTGTAAGCAATCTCACAACGAATGTTTCTAGTCAAGTAACACTATAGATACATATAACTTGTAAGCAATCTCACAACGAACGTTTCTGTTCAAGTTACACTACATTTCTTACAATCTAACAACGAACATTTCTAGTCAAGTAACACTATAGATAAATATACATTGTAAGCAATCTCACAACGAACATTTCTAGTCAAGTAACACTAAAGATACATATACCTTGTAAGCAATCTCACAACGAACGTTTCTACTCAAGTAACACTAGATATATATACATTGTAAGCAATCTCACAACGGACATTTCTACTCAAGTAACACTACATATATATATACATTGTAAGCAATCTCACAACGAACGTTTCTACTCAAGTAACACTAGATATATATACATTGTAAGCAATCTCACAACGGACATTTCTACTCAAGTCACACTACATATATATATACATTGTAAGCAATCTCACATCGAACGTTTCTAGTCAAGTTACACTAAATTCCTTTCAATCTCACAGCGAACATTTCTAGTCTAGTAACACTATATATATATATACATTGTAAGCAATATCACAACGAACATTTCTAGTCAAGTTACACTACATTCCTTACAATCTCACACTACATTTCTTACAATCTCACAACGAACATTTCTAGTCAAGTAACACTATAGATACATATACCTTGTAAGCAATCTCACAACGAACATTTCTAGTCAAGTAACACTATATATATATATACATTGTAAGCAATCTCACATCGAACGTTTCTAGTCAAGTTACACTAAATTCCTTTCAATCTCACAGCGAACATTTCTAGCCATTAACACCCCATTCCCTACAATATAACAGCGAATCGTTTTAGTCCAGAACCACATGCAAACAGCGTAATGTTTTAGTCAAGGAACGCTACATACCCAAAATTTCATAGCGAATATTTGTACTCAAGTAACGCTACATACGTGACAATCTAACTGCGAAAATGTCTAGTCATGACACATCAATAGTAGTAAATTTAATATCCAATCATCTTACCAGAGTCGTAGAACTGTTGGAACTGCTCCATACTTTCGTATGCATTGATCAAAACAAATGCCGTTCTGTTGATCCATGTTCTCCTCATGTCTCTGGCGCCCGTTGTGGCTATCAAGCCATGTCGAATTTTAAACTTATCCATAATCGGGGCCACTTTGTTGACGTAATTGTCTTGGAAGTTCCGGTCACATACGTCACATATTTCGGTCAAGTGAAATGTTGTGTATCCATTTTCTAAAGGATTTAAAAAATCAAAAAATAAATACATAAATCAAAGAAATACAACTTACAATGGAAATTGTTTTGGTGGTTTTTAATTAAAATAGGGCTAATGCCAGCTCTGTAAAACGACCATCATCTACACTGAACTTGATCATGTTGTTATTTCCTGTAATATGAATTTAAACTCTTGTTAAATTAAACTAATTGTCCCATAAATATTTGAAGAAAAAAAATCAAAAAGTTACTGTGTAACATTTTCGGATTTTTAATGACGACCATAAAATAAACACAATCGTACAATTTGTTAGTGTGCTTAAATAAATCGATCAAATAAACTTAACATTTTGGTGTAAAGCATCCTCGATATCCAGGGGTTACGCCCACTTCCGGTCCCTACACCCCTGGAATATATCATAGCAAAATTGAAGCACGAAGATAGCTGTTTGATTGGAGTCGGGTAAAAAACAACTGACCAATCGCTAGGCTGATACCTGTCCTTTGAAGATTACAAAGGAGCTACGCCCGACTGTAAAGCCTGTCAATGTTTACCTTTACTTGACAGCGAGATTCTTGTGCTGTTCATCAAAGGATGGAACTAGTCTTTTTGTCTCATCAACAAGGTGGCGCACACCTAGTCTTTTTTGCTATGACATGTTCCATGGGTGCAGAGAGCGAAGGTGAGCGTAACCCCTTGATATAAAGTATCTCATTGCTTAACTAATATATAGTATATATGGTAGTACCTTGCGGAATATAGCTTAGAGGGAACATTGCTATTTCCAGTGTGTCGGCTGGGTTCGGCCAGTCCTGTTGTTTAAATATCGGGTCGCTTATGAGCCAGTGATCAGCGTCTCTTTCGCTCCTGAATTTCAAAAGGGCGAATCCGACATCTGTTGGGTACTTGTCGCAACATTCAACGACCTGGATCTGTTACAAACAAAACAATAATTACACCTCATCTGTATTACATTTCTGATTGGATTATATTGATCACATGACATGTGAATATAGCATTATGTTGCCCTCATACGCTCGAGTATTGTCCTTGCGGTAGGGAAACATGGTTCTTTGTTTCCCCTCGAGTAATCACGTTTCAATTCCTCGTGAAATGTGATTATATCGGTAAAAACAAAGAATAGCGTTTCCCGATAGCAAGAGCAATAAATGTATAATGGAAGAAGGCTTTACCTAATCATCGCTTTGAATTATGATGACGTCATTGAAAGCGGGATACCGACGTTTGGGTACTCGGTCGTTATGGTACTTGGAATAATATTTTAACCTGGCACTTTGTTCGGTTTTTGTGATCTGTGTACATGTCACTGATTTTATCTTTGATCTTTCTAACGCAGTTTTTGTCATTTTCAGATACACAGAGGAACTGAAACGTCCTATTACAGGAATCGAAAGTACCGGGTACCGAAACGGTTAGACCTTATTTAGGGTGGGACCAAAACGCAAGGTCAGATGCAGAGGTACATATATATGTACAAGTTAGTCCATAAGATGAAAAGAATAATGATGATAATTTCAACAAACTTGTATCCCTGTTTGTTTTTATTTCAACATTTTAGTGTCCTATTTGTGACAGATTTAATTATCACATTACATGAAAAAAAATCATAAGGTAAACACACAAACGGAACCTTATTCATGTCGTCACGTAATGACAAAAAGGAAAACTGTGGAGTTGTTGTACGGGGTTTAACATCCTATCAACAGCTCAGGTCATTTAAGGACGTGCCTCCATTAGGGTCTTGTATGCGTCCATGTATGTCTTTATGCCGGAGGCAGGGTATGTCGTTTAATTTTCATCTTTTTGGTAGCGCGGATCTGATGCCGACTTTACATTGCTATAAAAGTGGGGCACTACCAAGCAAAGCTCTGAGAAATATAAGTAAGTTAGAAGAAGGGAGAAATATAGAGATGGAAAGAGGAAGTCAAGATTCAATTATGGTTTAGTTTAACACTTTTGTAGAAACAGATTTAAAAGCAAAATCTCAACGTTGACGTCGATGCCGGAAAGTGACAGCTTCGTCAGTCCTTCTCGGCACCCGTCGTAGGCAAGACAACAACAACAACAGTTGTTGTCTTGCCGGGTGAGTATTGCATACATTTCTTAACATATACATTTCTTAACATATCACCAATCCCTTTGATTACATAGTTACACGAGCTCGTGTTTACGCTATCTATCGAGTTTGTATTAAACAATCCACGACGGTCTAATGACTTATTCCATTAGTTTTATTTATAACGATATTCGCCCAAACATGCATTTATCATTAGGTTTTTAAACGCGTGTATGTGAAGTTTAAAGGTGAAGGTAATAATATTTTGTCAATCGATCATTAATTTAACGGGATTTTAAAAATACGTGGTTAAATAAAAGCACTTCTATTTTATCACCCATGTATTTACATTGGGGTTTTAAAGACCATGCATTACGAACGGTTAATATGCTAATCAGTGTAATAAAACTATTCTATAATGACATACTGCACAGAGCAAAGAGTTGTCACACTTCAATGTAACTAGCGGAGAACATTTATTTAATAAAAAGTCGACTTTTTGTTCGCAAGATATGGGTTCATTTAAAACGAAGAATTGTCAGCTTAACCTTACATAACAAAACAAACTTCGAAATTTGTTTACTTGAAATCAAAAAGTTCCACAGTTGCTGTCGAAATAGGGTGGAGATTAATCCCTAAACTTAGGATGCAGACTAGTCCCTTAACTTTAGAAATGTCTAATCTGAAACTGAAGATCTACAGCTTTGCATACTGTGAATAGAAAGTACCGTTTTGATTCGTCAATACTAAAGGTGATATCTTAAAGTTCTAAATTATCACATAGCAATATTCACCAACAAAAAGTAATATATGCTTCGAGGGAAGGGCGTTGCTAAGATCATCAAACTTGTAATGCATGACCGGGCGTGTTTGAGACGTATGATTGTTTTTTTATGGAACCACTAAGAATTTCTATACCACACTACTTTACAGGTGAATTAAAATATAATAAGACTTTTTTTTCCATGACGTGATTATAAAATGAATAACGATAAGTGAAGATTAGGGTTGAAATCTAACCACGCTTAGAATTTTTGCATCGTAATTCCTTACTGACAAACCTGCGATTAAATGGAATGTTTGATTTGACTGCGGTATCGTAGATATATATAGGTTCACTGTTTACTTCTCTGTCTGGAATTGTAGGCAAAACAAACCCAAGAACTCCTCCCAAGCAACAAGTAAACACATCCTATTTCTTCTTGTTATTGTATTAAATCAATCGCAAACGACATTGCCAGGTAAAAAGATCGCTCTGTTACCGAATACACAGTAATGGTGATGTGAACATTTTTCCTTGAATTCCTACGTTTATTTCTCAATTGTTTTCCATAATGCGTCAACTAAATCATTTTATTACATTTTTTCTTTCAGAATGTTCAGAAATTATCATTTTGATAAAAGTGTGTGTCTTTTCTCAGATATCACTTTTAGTATCGACCAATCAAATTCAAATTCAAATTATGTTGTAACATTGAGCCTTACAGCTCATCTGTATAACATACACGTACAAGTATTACAAAATAATAACATGATGAGTGGCACTTAGTGCAGTGGAGAATGGACATCACTCTATCTTACATTGATGATTTTCTCAAAATGGTAGCATAGTATAGGTATCTATTGCTTAACATATTCAATTCTTTAATATTTGTTGTACTTAAAAGCTGTACTAGTTTAAATACCGACGGTGTGTTTACCAATATTACGTTTTATATATCTCTTACACAAATAAAATGGACAAATCAGAACGATACGTTCTATTCACTGCATTCAAACCGGTAGACTTTCAGTTTAAGATACAGAAATGTCTATAGTTAAGGTATTAAACTCAATCCCCAACCAATTCACATGTAAAGATGTTCCTTTTAGTTTTTACCAACCAGAACGTTAGTTTCTAATAACTACATTGAAGGCCGTAGATTTTCAGTTTCAGGTACAGAATTTTTCACTCTTGTGGCAGAATATACCGATATTTTTACTCGTGCAATATCGGTATTCTGTAACACTGGTGAAATAAACATGGTATTCAACGGAAAACCATTAGATATTCCACTATGTCTCCTTAAATGTGACAAAGAAAACGTTGTCTGTTATTCGTGTATTCGACTGTTAAGGATATTTTTACAACTATTTAAATTGTTCAGGTACAAACTTTCTACACGTTCACCTGTATACCTTTCTCTTTTAAATGCTTGCACTAGAGTGCGAAAATACTTGTGCCTGTATATAATGTCAATATTTTACACAAATGGATTAAATCACGTTGACTATATGTACTTCACAGGTAACCAAATACACAGGTACCTCGGGTGACTTCGATCGTTATTAAGATCTGCGCGGAAAGTAAAGCTTCTCGACTTATCGGTATCTTTGATCTTTTGAATTTCACTGGAGAGCTTACATCACCGGTCAAACGTGCTCGTAAAGTATTATCGATTTTTTTAAGTTTTAGATTAGGCATATTTTATTTGATAGAATAAAAAAAATAGACACAATTTATAACAACTTACAAGGTGTCCCCTTCCTTATAACTTGTTAACAAATGTTTTATATTGACCGCAAGCTACAAAGTGGTGATCTCCAAATAAAATCAGAAACATTTATTTGATTATAGTAAAAGAAAAGTGTTTTCAACAGTACCAAATCGTTAAGAAATTTCAAGAAGACAGAAAACGTAAGTGGATTGCGCCAGTTAAAAAATATAAGTGTCCAATGTAAACAATGAAAATGACCAAGAATGAAACTGTATAAACCTCATACTGAAGGATTTCCCAGACGGAAATGTTATTATTATTTGTTTCGTGGAGGTTTTTATCAAACGATGTTAAATAATTAACAAGCCTCGCACAGACTAGATTAATATAATTTCCTTTCGATAATAAAAACCATAACACACTGGCTAATAAATACTTCGATTCTTTTGCGCACACATCACTAACACATTTGATAATGTTTACAACGGCAGCGACATCCCTTCAATGAAGGGCGGTTATAGTTGCCATCATATGGAATTAATTAGGTCATAACAAAGCATGACTCTGTGTATATGTAGGATAGAAATATCACACCCGTACAGCATAATTCTGTGTATATGTAGGATAGAAATATCACACCCGTACAGCATGACTCTGTGTATATGTAGGATAGAAATATCACACCCGTACAGCATGACTCTGTGTATATGTAGGATAGAAATATCACACCCGTACAGCATGACTCTGTGTATATGTAGGATAGAAATATCACACCCGTACAGCATGACTCTGTGTATATGTAGGATAGAAATATCACACCCGTACAGCATGACTCTGTGTATATGTAGGATAGAAATATCACACCCGTACAGCATGACTCTGTGTATATGTAGGATAGAAATATCACACCCGTACAGCATGACTCTGTGTATATGTAGGATAGAAATATCACACCCGTACAGCATGACTCTGTGTATATGTAGGATAGAAATATCACACCCGTACAGCATGACTCTGTGTATATGTAGGATAGAAATATCACACCCGTACAGCATGACTCTGTGTATATGTAGGATAGAAATATCACACCCGTACAGCATGACTCTGTGTATATGTAGGATAGAAATATCACACCCGTACAGCATGACTCTGTGTATATGTAGGATAGAAATATCACACCCGTACAGCATGACTCTGTGTATATGTAGGATAGAAATATCACACCCGTACAGCATGACTCTGTGTATATGTAGGATAGAAATATCACACCCGTACAGCATGACTCTGTGTATATGTAGGATAGAAATATCACACCCGTACAGCATGACTCTGTGTATATGTAGGATAGAAATATCACACCCGTACAGCATGACTCTGTGTATATGTAGGATAGAAATATCACACCCGTACAGCATGACTCTGTGTATATGTAGGATAGAAATATCACACCCGTACAGCATGACTCTGTGTATATGTAGGATAGAAATATCACACCCGTACAGCATGACTCTGTGTATATGTAGGATAGAAATATCACACCCGTACAGCATGACTCTGTGTATATGTAGGATAGAAATATCACACCCGTACAGCATGACTCTGTGTATATGTAGGATAGAAATATCACACCCGTACAGCATGACTCTGTGTATATGTAGGATAGAAATATCACACCCGTACAGCATGACTCTGTGTATATGTAGGATAGAAATATCACACCCGTACAGCATGACTCTGTGTATATGTAGGATAGAAATATCACACCCGTACAGCATGACTCTGTGTATATGTAGGATAGAAATATCACACCCGTACAGCATGACTCTGTGTATATGTAGGATAGAAATATCACACCCGTACAGCATGACTCTGTGTATATGTAGGATAGAAATATCACACCCGTACAGCATGACTCTGTGTATATGTAGGATAGAAATATCACACCCGTACAGCATGACTCTGTGTATATGTAGGATAGAAATATCACACCCGTACAGCATGACTCTGTGTATATGTAGGATAGAAATATCACACCCGTACAGCATGACTCTGTGTATATGTAGGATAGAAATATCACACCTGTACAGCATGACCAAATCTAAACCGGATGTAGCATAAAAGGTTCTTCAGTCTAAGGGAAATCTACGGTTACCGAGTTTGTTTTTAACAATGCCGTGGGCGTAGGTGGGTCGATTCACTTAGGACCGGGTCCAGAACAGTAGGCAGACGAGGGGGTATAACAAGCAGTGTTTTTCTTTTAATTCGATTCCAACGTATATGCAGCCTCTGGATTTAAGAAGTTTGTTTTAGCATTGCCATGGGCGTAGCTAGTACCTGTTCGGGGTCGATTCACTTAGGACCGGATCCAGAACAGTAGGCAGACGAGGGGGTACAACAAGCAGTGTTTTTCTTTTAATTCGATACCAGCGTATATGCAGCCTGAATGCATCATTGTACACGAAAGTATTGTCTTTAATGAAGATATATTTGTTTAAAATTATATTTACCGAGTTTGCCACTCCCATTAATTTTCCATTATATTGCTCCATGATCCGCTTTTCTTGCATGAAAGCATTGCGCATGCGTTGATCCATGTCACATCGGAAACGTATCAGCATGTACATTTCACCTGACGCCTGGTTATACTGAAATTAAACAAAGTGCAAAGGTTAACAGGTTGCAAGTTTCAGAACAATTGTGATTCTATATGCCTACTCCATATGTCTACTCCTAATGAGGGCACCAGTCTTTTGCAGAATTCCGCACTCGCATTATATTGCTACGTATGTGTACAACTAATATAAGAAGACTTTAGCTATCCTGTTTATATTGAAATCCATTGAATTTAAAAGAATTTGTTAATGCTTTCATAACGGATACTGATATGTTAGTCTATTTTCTGTCCCCGGCATGCTGATTTGCAAAATTTTGTGCGTAATGTTAAATTCACATTATGAGGAAACGCAATAGTGATGTGGGTTGCATGTGAATTTTAAATCACGTTTAGACCTATCGCACGACATCTATTTGTATCGTCGTTTCCTGTCCTGCTTCTTCGTTCCCTCTGTACTTCCGGTCCAAACCCGTTCCCATCCGGTAATAATATACCCATGAATAGCTTAAAACATTGATCCCTATCATCCTATGAATAGTTTGTGATCGATGTAGTTGAAAGCATTATCAGAATACCTGTCAATAATTACCCTAGTCTGAAGTATTGATTTTAGTCTTCACACTTGCGTGGATATAATGAGGTACATTTAACCTTTGTAAATGAAGTTCGATAACATAGGTACTATAAGGTATCATTTACGAACGTTATAGGGTTAGGATTAAGAATAAAATTCAGTGTTTATTTCATAACGGACCATTTTACACAAAATAAACAACATTATTGTATGTCTGAATGAGAAGAGGTCGAGGTTTGAGAGCGGTCATAAATGGTGGTCGGTTCAACCCCGGCCGCTTTCACCAAGGCGGCCGGGGTTCAATTCCTCGATCGGACGTGAACAGGTAAGGGCCACCTGTCCGACCACGGGGTCTCTACTCTTGGTACTCTGATTTCCTCCCACATAAGACATTATCTGGTTAATATCAGTTTAAATAACTTGTTTCATAATTGCTGTTGAATATATAAAGTTTATAGCTAAGGCTCGTTGCCCATGAAATCAGCTTGTTTCAAATTGATGGTAAATACCGCAGAGCAATATCATTGCTCCTTGATCAGTGTTACATTTGAGGGGTGGTATGACTTTTGTGTGGTACATAATGAAAAGTCAGTATTCATAGTAAAAAGTGACTCGCGTGCTTTGAACTAGAAAATCAATTCTGAAAGTAGTTTTGGAAAGGAAGTAGTGTATTTTACTATTTTGCGGAAAACAACTTTCAATATATAAAATAGTGACATTGGCCTTTAATTTTTGGTCCTGAAAAGCAATCCAAAGCAAGCTCAGGAAACACTGTGTGAACGCGGAGTCTGATCAGCCTAAAGAGTTGAGTTATTGTACGGAAACAATTTTCCTATTCGTAGTAAGAGTGACCCTGACTTTTGACCTTTGGGTCTGAAAAGCAACCCCGACCATGCCATCGGTTTGCGTTTGATCAGCCTTCGGGTTTATAATCTCTTCAATTTAACTTTCAAGTGACCTTGACCTTTCGCTTGTTTGACCCGAAATATAACATCTACTTTCAATACCGGCATATTCTTCAGGATATCATAAGCTTTCAAAGGTCAAGGTCGACCTATCAACGTTAATATGTTTCATTTGGATGTTTCTCACACAAAGTCCATTTAATATCGTGCTGAATATGTATATTGAGGCACGGAGTTGACTGTATGCTTAGTATGGCAACCCACTTGATCACAATACCTGCTCCACGGTACCAACATGAAAAACCTAAGTTATCAAGACAGATAAAGGATTCAAAGATTAACCAACTTTAAAACATAGCAGATTACGATGAGATATGATACAGGTTTATACACTAATACATGGACACTATGGCACTTCTGTAACAGAAGGCTTTTTTTAAATATAAACGACAACAAACGAACAAGAGGTCATAGTCTTCGACTTGAAAAGGGAATGTCTAAATAGAACTTAAGAAAGTATTCCTTTAAAGAAAGAGTGGTCAACCATGGGAATTCTCTGCCAAATCACGTCGTCACATCACCAACAATGAAACGTTTGAAGCCCGACTGGACAATCAGCATGCTTCTATAAACATGAACTTGACAATTATGAACGTATTCACTGTTGGGGCGTTAGCCAAGAGGCTGACCATACAAATAGACTTTTGCCTGCGTCCAGTATTATTATATTACTATCAATACCACAAATAGAACTCACCAGTGGCACACCAGCTTTCTGCTGTGTTTGCTGTTGTTGTTGACACGACATTCTGTCTGAAAATATAGACAATAAATATTGACAATATACATGACCATACACGGCAAAAACTATAAATAGAAAATAACGTAGAATGGTAAATACATATTAAAATACAACGTTCTAGTTTCAGATCAATGGAAATACTTATTATCTAAATCGGCTCATTAGTTCTCAATTTAGTTTAAGCCGATATGTGTCCACTTACATGCCTTGCCTACATTTAAGTAGCTCATTAATGTATTTTCATTGATTCGTAAATAGTAATTCAGTGCTTATGTAAAGTCTGAACTAATGTAAAAGGTCCTATTATGGCAAGGGAGGATGTGCGTTTCTTTGCGTGTGTTAGACTGTGCGAGTGTCTATTAGAAATGTGATGGTTGGAATTAGATAATATACGTTTTTTGTCTTGTTCAATGGAAACACTAGTATTTGTTTCTCCGAGATTAATCAGGTTTCATTAGGGCAAAATCCGAGTGAAACATGATTAATCAAGGGGAAACAAATAATCGTGTTTCCCTGCCACAAGGGCAATCAAAAGTTTATTATGCCGAAATATAACTATTGAAGCGCCGTTGTTGTCTTCTGTTTCAGATACTCCGAACTCTGTCGTGGTGCATCGTGTCCGCTTTTATAGAAAGACTCAGAATAGGGGGAAAATGATTGGGGAAACTCAAGCGCACGAGAGTAACACGATGTTTATAGCCCCGTCACTCGAACAGTATAATTTAATCACGCTGTTATAATTATGGGGCGTAACAATATCATCTTAACGCTTACTTCTGTTATCCCTACTGTACAAGTTTCGAACGATAAAATGCTTCAACGTTGGAGCGATAATTTAAACTTAACAAGGTTTTCATTCGTTGATAGCACAGTGTATATTATCGAAATTATTGTCGCTGGTTCCAGTAAATAACTTAATTTTCGTGAGGTGTGTGTATTTCCTCCTAATTTTTATATTGACGATAATTGCTTGTCGGTCGTGAAATTCCAATGCTCTGACAAATATTTATAATAAGTTACATTCAAGTCGGCGACTCTTTGCCAATTTTCGCAAGTTTGGTGTGAAGTCAGAAAAGTAAGTGTTCCCGAACATTTGGTGATTACAGCAATGCTTCACGACAAGAGACATAGTACCCATCTGGCTTAACATTAGTAATATATATAACTTATAAATTAGTTATAAAAATGGTTTACAGTGACGATATCTTTGTCAAAAATAAGGCACTAAGTTTGATGTTTTATGTAAATAATTAACCGGCATAATAACACGTCAATCTCATTTGCGACCCAACTGAATGCTACGGACTGACATGTGATCTTAAATTCAAGATGATGCGGGGCTTAATTTCTCTTTTACTTGTTGTGGGGAGGTAGTGAAATTCCTCAGTAGTATTTAATGATTATAGCGAACAAGATACCAAAAAGTAAAGTGCCTTAGATTGGTAAACGAACTTTACAAGATATGTCATTTCGTAACATTCTTTGGTGTTTTCAGAGTGCTTGACATGTTATAAGCAATGTAATTAAAGAGTGCTACAATTTATTGATTATGTTTAGCTTTTTATAGAGGAACGCTAGATATCACGAAAAGACACATCATGTAACGTTCAATTATACCAGTAACAGATTATATTGTTTCTCAACGAAACAACCATCTTGAAGCCGGTACTCCTCTCGACACCTAGTTAATGAGAAAATATACACCACTTGATCTAGCTATATAAGTGAACTTAGTCTAGTATGTCATTACGTAGCATTTAACTTTATTGCAAAAGAGATTGACATGTTATAATGCCGATGAATATTTTTAACTAAGACATCGGCCTTAATACCTCATTCCAGACGGAGTTAACGTCGCTATGTACTAGTTGATGCACATGCTAAGTATATCTAAATTACAAATCTGAGTCCGGGCCCGTAGCAATGAAACCATTATCATGCTCCAGTATGGATTCTGTGTTCAAACTAACTTTCCTGCAACTCGCTTAAATCATGTGACACAATGAAAAGGTTCGGTGTAAGTATTGGAAGTTTCGGAAACGGTATCTCTCCAAAATTCTTCTAGGTAATTGAGAATAAATGGGTTATTATTAATTTGTCACCGTAACAAGAAATTAGGTTTGAGCACAGAATATCATAATGAGTTTGAGCATGAGAACATATTCATGAATACGGTGACAATACTGCTATACATATAGAAACCTTGAAAGTGTTTACAGTATCAACATTCTGTATTGTGCTTTCCTTGACAATACGCCAATTTGTATTGTTTCATTTGACCCTATTTCGTAACAATGTGCACATTTTGTATTGTTTGTTCTTTGACAATACGTTCATTGTTTATTACACGGAATATTGAGCAAATAAAAAATCGATTGTATTGTGAACACACATATTCAAGCCTTTGTTTGGACAAGAAACAAATATGTATATCAGATTCGTAGATTCTAAACGAACTCATTATTGGGCAAGGTAGCATAACAACTTTAAAGAAATATAACACCTGCATATCAATATCAAATTTTGACGCAGATTCCTATGTAAATTTATAACTGTATATACCCACCCTGATTTTGTCGTGGATGTTCACTGTAAGAACAGCAACGGGCTCATTAAAACGTATAATACACCTGCTATATCAACAGGCGGAAAATCAGGTTTTTAAACTAAAGCGTGCGTGTTCGTGTATATATTGTAAATATGTCAATATATATATATTATAACATGTTTTGACATGACAAAACTGTATCTGAAACACTTTCGGATATGTCTACTTATGTATGTGTGGAAATCACTTCAAAACAGAGTATATAGTTGAGATCGATCAAATAGCGATCTGTCATATCTACCTGTACAGGTAACATACACACCTGTATACCAATATCGATCCGTACGCAGGTATTTAAAGTTCCTTCCTTTACAAATTGAAGTAAGGCTCGCTGTCACATGTTGCTATGGTGTATATAAACAATTTCTGCTATGCTTTCACCTTTGTGATAAAGACGGCAAAATCTCAAATATATGAAGTATGTCTCGATTTTCGCCCGTGTTATATAAAACCCCGCTCAAATAATTTAGTATATTTTAACTTACCTGTGGTTTTGCCAGGTGCTATAAAACAATGAGACAGGTGTATATTCCGTCCGCTGTTTTTCTTCTCGTGATCAGCTCGTATCGCGACGGACACAAACACTGATTTTACGTGTTTGTTACGTCGCTACACCTCATCGATTCCGTAAAGGACGATCGCAGCGACAAGTCTGCCCTCTAGCGGCCAGGTAGCAGTTATAATATCTAGGTTATTTGTTTCCCAAGCCTCGTGGGAGAATAACGATCATATAATGAACTTTAATAATGGGTGATTGTTGTAAGCTTGTATGTGATAACCCTAACACTGATTATAGTGTGAAGTCGATAAAACGTGTACTATACCTAGTATAATCCTTAATCGCCAGTAACAAGCATATACAGGTATTTGTTACTATCAATAAATGTTAATAATAAAAATTGTCTCCTTGAAATGATGCCCAATTTTTTTCAGCTGCATATGGAGAAATCATTCATAAAGCAATAGTTATTAAGAATACAAAAACTACTTTGACTAGCACAGAGACGTATATAAAACCAATATTTACAAAATATACGTCTCTATCCTATATTTGACATATTAGACGCTATATATGCGTAGAAAATATTATACATTTACGGTATAAAACTTGTATTTACGGGTATTAAAATCCATACACTTATTATAGAAGACTACGTTTTGCAATTAAAATGTATTTATTCACACTTAATCCAAACTTGATTAGTACAAATTGAAATTGAAATCAAAATATTAAGGGGGATGACTCTACAAAAAGTCGCAGGTATTATGTATAAGGAAGAATATATCCCTAAGGAATAACTCTCATGTAGATCACGAATATGATGTGTAAGTTAGTATGTTTCCTTTAGGGAGATAACTCTACCACAAATCAGAGGCAAAATGTGTCAGATAGCATGTTACCTTAACGGAGATAACATATCACTGGTATAATGTGTAAGGGTGTGTCATAAAGGGAGATAACTCTACCACAAATTATATGTAAACGTGTAAGGCAGATATCTTTAATACAAATCACAGGTATAATGTGTCAGGTAGCATGTTACCTTAACGGAGATAACATAGTCATAAAGGGAGACAACTCTACCACAAATTATATGTAAACGTGTAAGGCAGATATCTTCAATACAAATCACAGGTATAATGTGTCAGGTAGTTTACCGCCTTAAAGACAATGTTGGTTCATCAGTTAGAATTTCAGTTATGTAGATCTTATTGACTTCCACCTGCTTTAACAAAAACCACTGCTAATGCGTTAACGCATGTGAGTTAAGGGCTTCCTGATCGATTGAACCCGTGAATCTCTATACAATTGTCTAGAAAGGAAGGTTGTAAGAACAAAAATATAAATATATAAATTATATCAGTGACATGTTGTCAAATGCAGCATGTGAACATACAAAATGTACCACAAACGCAACAACAACACACAAGGTCAGATTCGGCACTCAAATCCACCTTTAATATTTGAAGAAGTGCTGCAATATCCCGGATTTTCGAATATAGATTAAGTGGAATATAAAAGTCAATATTCCGGAATCCATGTAAAGCATGCCTTCCCTACGTCAATGTAATAATCAATCTAATTTTATTGATTATGACTCTGAAATGATTATTTAGATTGGGTGTTTACGTCAGCCGTCTGTAATAACGAGATTGTAATCTCGTAATCTCTAATAAATGACAACATCCATTTCATACATTAAATTGCTCGTGCTAAACGACATTAAATGAATTTCGCTGTTAGTAGGACGATAAGCCCTATATAACCCAACCCAAATCTCGCGTACCCGAACGTTCCACAGAAAGGTCAGTCTTTACTAAAATAAGACAAAGTGTTATTTACACAAGGTCAATAAAACTGTCTTCCAAAACGCAAATAATGACTGATTTTTGTACATTGTACAACAAAATGACGCGACCTCGCTTTATTCTAGTCTCCTGAACATGTCAAACTGTCAATAAAGTACATAGTGTTTTCAGGTTTAAAGCTAGAATCGGCTTCATTCTAAAACTTGAAATAGATTTTTACGCACTCTGAACAAATACAGTGAATCGTTTTATTCCAATGTTTAAACTCACTAGTTGTGTGTGTGTATATATATAGCGGTTAAGAGTTTTAAATGTTCATGTGACGGTAGTAATATATATAAAACAAAAACACCAAGACTAGTTCCCCTGATGAGCCTTTAAAGAGGTGAAAGCACTAGGAAGGTACTAAGAAACTCTTGTCATTTGTTTTTTTTATATATATATACCCCCATTGTTGTATACATTGTCATCGAATACATATTTGTAGTATAGATATACGAAAGTTCTGTATTGTAGCGCGGAAGCTTATGACTTGCAATCTTATTGAAATATGATGTTTTTTTCATATCTTATAAATATTCCTATCAGGAATGAAATGATATACTGGATGACAACCAATAGTAGAGACTGAACTTACAACCAGAACGGGGTTTGATGACAACCAACAATATGCTGGATGATAACCAATAGTAGAGACTGAACTTACAACCAGAACGGGGTTTGATGACAACCAACAATATGCTGGATGACAACCAATAATAGAGACTGAACTTACAACCTGAACGGGGTTTGATGACAACCAACAATATGCTGGATGATAACCAATAGTAGAGACTGAACTTACAATCAGAACGGGGGTTGATGACAACCAACAATATGCTGGATGATAACCAATAGTAGAGACTGAACTTCCAATCAGAACGGGGTTTGATGACAACCAACAATATGCTGGATTACAACCAATAATAGAGACTGAACTTACAACCTGAACGGGGTTTGATGACAACCAACAATATGCTGGAGGATAACCAATAGTAGAGACTGAACTTACAATCAGACCGGGGTTTGATGACAACCAACAATATGCTGGAGGATAACCAATAGTAGAGACTGAACTTACAATCAGAACGGGGGTTGATGACAACCAACAATATGCTGGATGACAACCAATAATAGAGACTGAACTTACAACCAGAACGAGTTTGATGACAACCAACAATATGCTGGATGATAACCAAAATGCTTGATTATGACAGAGAATAGACTGCATGATTGACAATCAAGGAAAGGATTGATAATAGCTAAGAATACGCTGGACAACAAATATATATCTATGTAAAGCCGGCCTCTCTAATAATCCTTTATGTGTTTTTTGCAATCCAGATAGGGAAACAATAGTTCATACATTATGGGAGTGTGCCATCGTAAAAAAAAATCCTACACAGTTTTGAAACACTACTAGAAGCTTTAATTATCCCATTTTCTTTTAATAAGGAATCCTTCCTTTTCGGAATAGTGTCAGTCAAGAATAAGCAACAGACTAGATAATGAAATTTGAATTATGATCAAACACTATATTTATAAAACAAGATGCCTTCAAAACACTTTGTCAGTAAATGCTTTAATTAACAGCATAAAAGACCATCATTCTGTACAAAAATATGTAGCATGTTGCAAGGGGGATAATTTTGTAAGAAAATTGGAAAGAGAATGGAAAAAATGAAACTACCTCCTGAAATTATAAGCCAAAAATCCAAGTCAGTAGATACAATAAAACTCCTCCCACAGTTCTCATTTTATATTTTGAAAATACACTCCCGATGCACATTCATGTAGCCAGGACACATTAAGTTTTCACAAGGGCTTTTTCTCTTGTTCTGTATGCTTTTTTGGCAGTTATGCCCCTTTTACCATACCTGTATTGAATCTCGCCTGAACTTTTTTGTCCCTTTTTTGTGAATTTCAGTTGAAGTTTCTGTCTGAACTTATTATAGTTTATCCCAAGGGTAAATTTATATGGCTGTATTTACTTGCAGTTTACAGCCGAAAGCACCTTACTTACAACTAATAAAAAAGATTGTCTTATAATCTTATCCTAAACACATAGTTCTGTTTATTCTTGAGTTGCAGTGCAAAAACCAGATTCTTCTTTTCTTCCTTTTTCTGTTGACTTTCTCCTTTTTTCTTTGCTATTTTTTTCTTCTTTTCTTTTCTCTCTCTCTCTGTTCTCATAAAGGCAATATATGTGTACATGTGTACCATAACATGTACTGGCATCAAATATACCAACTGATGTAAGCAAGAGTATATATGAGTCGTGTGAGGTATGAATATATAATATGAAATGTTTGATTATAACTATACCATACATTGCAAAAACATCTTGAATAAAAAGAAAATGACATTTTTTTTTTAAAATACGTTAGTTGACAGCCAAAAATAACCTAGATGACAACCATAATAGACTAAATTTACAACCACAAAATAGCTGGCTGACAACCGACAAAGCATAACGTTGGTGACAATAAAATATGCGTACGTGTATGTATGTGTGCCGGAGACAGAGGTTACATATGTTTGTCGAAATAATAGCTCTCAGGAGCTAATGTTCCTTGTTTACTTGTATGCGACGTAAGATAAAGTTTCTTGTATCTTGTATCTAGTATGTTGTTGTATTTGCCTCCTTGTGATAGCGCGGATCTGATGCCGACTGTATAGTGCTATCTCACTGAATTACTATACCGAAGACATGGCCCAGCACAGCATTCCGCCCGGTCACATTATGAAGGAGTAGACTAAACTTGAGGAAATATTCTTTCAGTGAGCGGTTGTAAAGCATTGGTACTCCCTTCCAGGTGCCGTGTTTACGTCACCAACTGTCAAAACATTTGAATCCCGATTGGATAAACACTGGGGACAACATGAATGCTTTTTTAACCACGAGATAGATACTAATGAACTTATTCATAGTCGGGACGTCATCTTATAAACTTATGTTAAACTTTGTGATCTGGATGTATAGGCAGTATGCCTGCGTCCAGTATTATTACAACGGGTGAACCAGTAGACAAGAGAAGAATACACTAGAGCTACAACCAAGAACAAGTTGAATGACAACCAGAAATGGGCTGGATTACAATCAAGAAATGTCTAGATGACATGCCAGGGTCCATGAGTATCAACCTCGATCATATGATTTCGGAGCGTTTGAAACGTCAAATCACTTTTTTCTAAATATTCTTTTGATATAGAGGATTGAACTTCGGTTTGTAGCTCGACTCTAAAATATGTTCAAACGAATGACCTTTACTCACTTTCAACGCCAACACGATAAAATATATGAATCTCTT